CATTCACACAAACCCGATGTTTTCCACAAGTAATCGGTTGACTCGTTTGAAGCAGAATGCATTCCAATAAACCCAATTTGCACGGTTTAGAGTTTAGATAAAGAAAAGTAGGCGGAAGTACCTAAGTAAAAATAGTCAAGAGTTGGTCAAAGAAGGACTTCAATTATCTAATTATCTTACGTGATCTCACTATTCTGATGAGTTTTGTAGAAATCAAATTTTATCCAGATTTTTATTTCGAATTGATATTTTTTGGATGCAAAAGGCGAATTTCTAAAATCAAAACGTATCTAATATTGAAAGAACCTAGTTGCAATTAATAAATGAAATTACTGAGAAAAAAGCTTTCGAAAACCGGCTTCAAATTCTGGCAGGGGTGACTATTTAAGAATAGTCACAGTTACAAACAGATTTGTTAGATGTTTCCATAGACAGCACTTGAAATCAGTTATTAAGATGAATCCCAGTACCCGCTTGTTGTTTACCTATCGGCAGAAACGAGGAGGTTTCGAATTATTTTCTACATCTTATTCTCTGAAATAGTATTTGCCCTTGCAGTTTTGGGCTTTTTCTAATAATTATTTGATTAGTTCTTTTATTTATTCTTCGGTTTTACCTATCCACTAATAGAGTGTGAAATGGTCTCGAAATTTAGTTAGTCGCTTTGAGTTCTTGAAGCTGGACCCCCTAGAGACCTTTTGGGAACAGCTCAACCTTGGCAGGGACAAATTGAATACAGATATTATCGAAATAACCAGATAAATGTCGCTTATAACAATGAAACGGCAGCTTAAACATTGCGGGTGGTTGGCTTATCTTCGAACACGTGAAACCGGCTAATTTCCCCTAGTTCGGACACTAAAACGGCCCATTTGACCCATTTAGTTGCGGGTGACAGTGGTCGAATAAATCGCCGTAAATGCGACACATCTGTCATCGCAAATACCACCGGTACTCCATTGTTATTGTCAGCGGGCGAACAATGGTCAAACAATCTAAATGCGACGAGCGTTTAATTAGACGCGATCTATTTACGTTGACCGAGCAATTAGAGATAAAGCGTTTAGTGGATTTTACGAGGGCAATTACTATGGGAGAGATTTGGGTCGGTTCAGCTGCCCAATCCGATAACTCCATTAGTGACAATCAATTACTTTCCCCTGGTAGAGGGTGCATTTTCAACATCCCCAGGAGTCAAACAGTTCAGATTATCAATTTTTACTCAATCTGCTTCAAAACACACTAGACAACTTTTCCAAGCCAGTGCTTCACTGGGTGTCTGTTGGAGATAAAAAGATCCTAACCTCTAAAGAGAAACATCAAAATTTTAACTGACAAAACGCACACAGGGTAGTTTGAACATACTGATTTTACAAGAGCGAAGAACCTAAGATCCTTTTCGTTAAGCAACTACTTTTTCAGTTTTATGAAAACTGTTACTTATCCGCTCTTCATTTCTGGCATGAGCAGGCAGTTCTTTAGGCCGATTTTCACCATGGATTGTTTTCACCAGCGCTTCGGTACGTTTCACAAACTGCGTTTATTAAAACGCAGTTTAAGAAACTGGAAACACTGGCATCGTTGCAATTGCAATTAACCTTAAAATGTTAAAGTTTGCTTTGTTTATGCACGGTTTGTGCATTCGTGTATGGCTTATGGCTATGGTATACACGTTTTTATTAGATTTCCTATTTGAAAAGTTACTTAAACAAGTAAAAAATTAACGCCCTTTTAGATCCTTATAAAATTCATTGAATAAACAAGGGAAGCGGAGGAATGAGGAAGGATTTTACTGGGTAAACAGCTTGGCTGGAATCTCACAAAACCCAGAACGCAAGAATACCAGCTCTATCGCGGAGCTCACCCCATGTACGGATATGGATGTGATGTAGTTGTGTTGAAACCCTTAAAATCTCCAGCAGAAATTTGCATGCATTCTGTGACATAAAACCGCAAAGAAGTTGGCTTATCGCCGACACAATTACAGACAGGACAGACAAAGTACATAAGTAACAATAAAACATTCGTCGACTTCTTCGAAAATTAAGTTATAAACTGGCCTACGTGCCATTTCTATTTTATTATTTTTTGATCGATCGACAACAACAACTTTTTAGACAGTGAGGTTAGATCAAGTCTTTAAACGGCGTTTAAACTATAGGCCTAGGCTATAAACGCCCAAAATCGGCCAGTTTGTTTCTTTAAACGCGATTAAGCGCAAACTAAGTCTAAGGTTCTGGTGAAATCCGTTTCGCGCCTCAAACTGAGTTTCAGACGTTAAACTGGTTTAAGATCGTTTGGTGAAAATCGGCTTTATTCAAACTAGCGCGGTTGTCTTAAATGTGTGGCTATTGGAAAGAAAACGGACAAAATTGCCGTCGTTTGGCTTCTGGAAGACGAAGGCGGTAAACTGAATCCATTCGGGCGATTTCCCGTCGGCCTGTCGCAAAATTCCCGGCGAGCCAACGAATTTTCCTCCATAATTCTTACTGTTCAGGACGGCGGCACATAAATTCCGGACACCTGAAACTTTTAGTTGGCTCTGCTGGCTCTACCGGTGACATGGATCTCAATATGTTGTTAAATCGAAGTTTATACGGCTCTGGGGAAATCAGAGCCGCCCCAACAACCCCTTGATTTTGGCGGCCCGCCCTGATTCTTATGCGCGACCAAACGAATTATTTATGGAGGCACGAGAATCGGGTCGGCTTTTACATTATTTCGTTTTCGGTTTTATTCAATTTTAATAATACAATTTTAGGTTTCCTTTGCGAATCGACTGCATCGAGCCATTTTTATATGGTTGGCTTCGCCGTGTTCTACGTGGTTAAGGCGTTTGATTTGAGCCAATGCCCCGCAAGTCGAATTGGAAGATTAACAGTATTTGAGATACAGCTACTAAATCTCTGCTCTAACGGGAAATTCTTCTGAATGACCCATTTCTCATTTCAGAACGTAGCTCTCATCGGATCTCTGACTCGCACCCATAGGAGTCTACGAGCGATGCACCACGGCGATGCGTTGCTGCGTTCGAAGTTGATACTCTCACCGCATGAAATATTCGATTGAGTTTTTCAGCAACACGAAGTAGTGCAAAATTAAGATCGGCCTGAGAGCCTCAAAAACGTCACCAGTCTCCAAAATGTGTAATTTTATTGGAAAGAACCAATATCAACGAGAGATGAAAATTTTAACACATTTTGATTAAGTTGTTAAAAGCGAGCTGTTGCTCTCACTATTCATTGTAGTGAACTAAAAAGAAATCCGAGTTTGAGTATTTCCAGATCCTAATCGGAAATTCTCCTGTCTGGCCTTAGCCATGTTCTTAAACAACAAAGAACAGAAGAAACAAAGTCATGCCCTCAGCAAGGTGTACAGAACGTAAAGTGTGAGCAGTTTGACCGATTGTTCGCGTAAAACTGCACAAAGAATGAGTGATAGTCGGCACTCTTTACATATTAACAAATTAGCTTCCGCCCATTTACTATCGTATAAGTTTCATTTTAATATAGTAAACCGGTGGCTGGCAATTAGCACATTGGTCGACCAAATAATATGCTAATAGCGCTTTTAAGAACATCTAAACATGCCGCTTTTATAAATGACCGCTCTTATACGCGATCGTATTATAATGTTCAGTTGGAAGCCTAATGGACGATAAGTTGGAAATCATACGTTTTATGATGTGCTAACTAGTGGAGAAAGATCAAGGCTATAAAGGCGGTATTGGCTACTAAGGCTGGCCATTGTTCGTTCTTTGTACAACTAATTATCTGTAATCCCGCTTTTATGAATGGAATTTTCAGGCTTAGCAATTGTCCTAAAAGCAATTTTAATTGATTCTTATAGACGCACTTTTGAGGCCGAATTTCCGCCGCCGAGACACCAATGATTTGGACACTGAAAAGTATGCATCAAGAGCTTAACGAGCTATTAGCAGGCTTTATGGAACAAGTATTTAGGAAACGGACTCAAGTGGCTGGAAATAACGAAGCAGACACGCTCTAGTTTCAGACCACTTCAGAGCAATCGACTTTAGGCGACAAACTTCCGTTTTGCTTCACTGATTCAGTCGGTTTTGCAAAAACCGCAGCAAAAAACAGATTTCTTTCTTCCAGTAATTGGATGAATCGAATTAAATATCTCCTGTTGTTCGAGCAAGATAAGTCTGTCAACATGTGCAACTCAATTTTAAGCTATTATTAATTTCTCCACTGAAATAACCATTCGATTATTCGCAACAGAAGTAATATGGAGGCTGAACCCGTGAAGACTAATTGGACTAAGGAATATTGAATTGAAATTGCAGGTCGAGCTCATCGGGAGAATAACAGTCCAGCCAGAAGCTAATCCGATCTAATCTTAAGCCTATTACGTTGTTGACTGCGGAGGATTAATGCGATGGGGAATAGAAAACAATTTGTCACGCGCTCCATTGTTGTGCCCCTACGGATGATAACATAGTTATCTGTATAGTCAGAGCGCAGCGCCACCGATAAATCTGCCAATCAGATTGGCCGTCGACATCTGTTAAATGGATTAACAAGGAAATTTTTTCAAACGGTCATTACTTTGGAGAACACTGCATAGGTATTATTATAGCGCAAATATTCCCAGCAGTGTGTAGTAGGTAGGTAGATGACGAAAAGTCCTTAGTAAGTAAAACCTTTGCTCGATTGGTTGGTCAAGTTGGCACATTTAAATAATCATCTACCTCATTTGAAAGAAACTTTGAAAAACTAACGGAAAACTTTCCGTTTTTACGTGAACTGGTTGTGGTGAACTACCTAGACGAATTTTGAAAATTGATTTTAAGTGCGACACAATTGGTACTAAACAGGATCACTTTTGAATATTTCAATAGAAATCTGATTTCCGTGAAATCTTGAAGAAACTGAAACTTTACTTTATGTTTCTGCCTCAACTGGATTGTACAGAACGCGTTTTCTGAAATTGTATGATCGAAGGAAGTCAGGTAAGGTTTAATAAAAATACATAAGTTTGCTGAATGCTTCGCCACTATTTACTTAATCTATACCTATCCAATCAACTAAATGACAAGTAATTATTGCATGGTTGTAACTAAATATAAACGACTAAATGGAATATTAAGGAAAGACTTACCTACTTAACAACATAATTTTGTTTGCAAGGCAAGTTGCATCTTTTAACACTTTTAGATTGCAACTATTTACTTTCTTACATATACATACATAGGTATAGGTACCTCAATACCACTTATGCTAGGAGTATCACAGATGAATTATTTTGACTAAATTAAAATAATATCACAATGACCCCATTTAAATGCTACAAATCTTCAGATGCACGCCAACAACTTTTTGAAGCAATTGCAAATTGAATGTATCGATTTTTATGGAAGCATTTCAATTGAAGTAGTTATTCACTGTGCCTGAGTGAATTATGTTGTACTTATGAATAAATAAATTAAACTAAAACTAGCTTAGATACGAAGAAAATGTTCACAAGAATGGATAAAGTTTTTATCTATATAATTATTAATGTAGACAGCTAGAGTATACAGCCCATATTCATGCATTGGTTTGGCGAAACTAAAGCATTTTCAGCAGCACTAATCGAATAAACGTTCCATTGCCTAATAAATAAATAATGGATAAGAACAGAAAAATAAAGAAACAGCGACCGAATTAAAAAAAAAAGTTTTCAATAATACATAATAAACAATTTATTTGGACGCTAAAAAGTGGTCGGGTGATTAAATTACTTACTGATCTTTATACGGCTGAAATAACTTGGGCTCTTCCTGCCTAGTTTGCTGTGCAAAATATTGTTCAGGTGGCCCCAAACTTACTTGCTGAAGTGTGGGCGATGGCAATCGAAGTGGCACTTTATTGAACATGCTGGACACATCGAACGGTCCAACTAAAGGAACGTGAAAATAATTCGTTGGCGGCGCAATTGACGTTGGATCAAAGTTGCTTGAGTTGATTGGATTTGAAGGTACAGTTGATGTGCGTAATGCCAAATGTCTGTAGGCAAAAGGCCGTGGAACAGGCGGGGCTGTCGGCATGTAGTGGGAGGCGTACCAGGCAGCCTCAACTAGAGGATGGTAGAAAGTGTCGTACGGCCATGGTATCATTTGGCGTTGTCGCTTATCTTTCATTCTGCGGTTTTGAAACCAAACCTTGAACAAACAAACGTTTTATTATTCTTAACAATTTTTTTCCTCTCCTGAAAGGGTTGAATGAAAGGTTTTTGAAGCGTCGGACCCAGAGTTGGCTGCAGAAAACAGCGCCTGTCTCCAGGTTCGGGGCGGATGACTGGCTAACCAACGCGCCAACACCCGATTTTCACCACGCGCGAAACGGATTTCACCAGAACCTTAAACTTGGTATGAGCTTAAACGAGTTTAAAGAAACAAACTGCCCGATTTTGGCCCTTTACAGCTTTAAACGCCGTAAAATAATAAAATGGATATGGCACGTAGGCCAGTTTATAACTTAATTGTCGAAGAAGTCGACGAATATTCTATTGTTACACAATTTATGAAACGTATCGAAGCGCCGGTAAAAACGGCCCGTCGTTAAACGAGCTTAAGTTCGGCGTTTAACATAAACTTTTCGTTTCGTTAAACTGCGCTTCGCTTGTTTCTGGTGAAAATCGGCCTTAGTTCCTACTTCAAAATATTTCGAAAACGGCCACTAAGTTACCTTTATGGTGGGTTCGGTCAGGTTCAAGTCAGTGGCCAATTCCTGTCGTTTTTGACGAGAAACATAGCTTTCACGCAAAAATTCTGCTTCTAATCTTCTGACTTGTTCTCGAGAAAATGCTGTTCTGTATCGGCGGAGTTGTTGTTCTTGAGGTCTTGGATCTTTAACAGAAAAATGGGTTTCTTGTGAACAGAGCCCTAAAAGTGCCCAACAAGCAATCAACGCCCTTTAAGTAGCGGAAAACTAGCGAAGGACGGTTAAGAAAAACATGGCATGGATTTCCAGACGTTTTCTTCTTTGTAAATAAAGAACTTTTTAAATGTTTGCTTGATTTCAAACACATCGATATTTGAAGAATGCTGCCATCGATTTTTGGCGATGTATTTTTACTTTAAAGTCGGCTTCGTTCAATCTGAATTTCTTGAATTTGAAAAGAATGTCGAGCCAAGCCAAGTTCTTCCGCTATGAATCGAAGAAACCGAAACTGAAACGACTCTCTAGTTCTATTTTGTTTCCAATTGGAAGTGAAATAACAATAATAAATAGGTACGTACTTGAGTTAGGACTAGATGGGCTCTGAGTCGGTGCTTCTACTTCATTAGAAGCAGCAGTCGGAGATGGAAACATAACTGGTAACTTCACAAGCAATTACAACACTAAACTTCGGTGGTTGATGGAAAAGAACTGTTTAAGAAAGGAGCGTTGTCGGTTAACTGACGCGCTTAGTGATCGTAACCCAAGCTCCCAACTCACAAATGGGCGTGACCACCTGGGCTCTGGTTGGTTGCCAAAAAACGACCGGTGATTGGTGGCCTCGCCCTTATGCTCTTTATCCCCACACCGCAAACGGTTCAGAATCGCCTGCTCTGTGTTTATCAGCCCTAAGTAGATGTCGGAATGTATTAGAGCGCAATGGGGTGCCGGTGCTCTTAGCTCGTAATGAGAAATTCTTTCGTCTCCCTCCCAGCATTATTCGGCTGTTCGTATTGATTAACTTGATAAAGCTGCCAAATTGGCTTATTCGGTGATGTGAACTAATATAAACGGATATTAAAGTTTATCGCAGTCAGTTTTACGACCTTAATGAGCTTTTCACTTTCAAAATAACTCAAATATTGGCTTTATGCACGATTAATAGCCAAATCTACAACTACGAGCCTGTTAAAAACTTGAAAAGCTGCCGTTAAAGCCCTACAGTTTCCAAAATCCAAAAAGTGAAACTAAAAACACCCTGTATCAAAGACTGAGTGAGATTTAGCAACGTTGGTTTACAGCGTTTTCAGTGTTTCTGGAAATGTAACAAATTTCGAAACTTTTCCGTCGGAAATCGGCTTGCCCGGTACGAAATCTTCAGCAGCTCCCTTATCGTAGATTAAAAAAAAAGGGAATGATATATTTTCTATTGAAATATATCTATTAGATAATTATCTGAATAAGAGAGAATAGGTAGAGATCTGAAAATGTCTCCATCGTTATTTCTGATGGCAATATAAGGTTTTTGATTCCATGTTTAGGGGTTTATTTTGTGTGGCTATGTTTTTTTAACTGTCCGAATATTTTATAAAAATGCATTTTTTTATACAAAAGTGATCTGGACCTTAGCTGTATAGGTCCCTACACAAAATGAATACCAAAGTGAATTGTTTTTTTCCAATCCAAAACTTTGCATGGGCTCTTATGGGCTTTCAAACTTCAAACGTAGGTACAGAAAATTCCCAAATGGTCTCCTCATTGCTATCCTACCTACAGAAATCCATTTTCCACTACTTCTGACAGCACTGCCAAAGACAGTTGTGCTTTGCTTGACATTGCTTCATGTCATGCAATGTCAGATTTATCAATCTGTTATGGCGTTTTTTCTACTTGTCCTCATTGAAACAGCGCTGGCGCTCTACCAACCGCCCTCGTTGGATAGCCTCAGTACTCAGAACATTCTAGAAGGAAATGCACGCATATCCGAGAATCGACAGACTGGACCGATCGAAAAAACCCAACTGGAAGCGACAAATTTCGAAATCAAAGCCACAATCTCCAAATGTCCCAAGCAAAAAACATGCGACTGCGATAGCACATTTCAATGCGCCGCCAATGATACCAGAGCGATTAACCTGAGGACGAATGAGCATCGAAGCAAATGCGACCAACAAGCCGACGACGAAATGCTCAGAAGTTGCGAAAAGAAGCTTTCGCTCACACTCAAAGTGAAGAACCGAGGCCTGACCAATTGCCAACCCCAATACATTGTGCTGGATCATGTGTTCGATCCGGCGACTAATAAAAAGCAGAAGCTTCTGAACCCATATGTTCTCAAGGTGACTCAGAAGCCGGTCTATCAGGTGTACGATTTGGTTTTTGAGAACGTGGTCAACTCAGGGCCTCAGGAGAAGGTTCTCAATAAAAACAATGAGAGATTTTCTGGATGCAGCACCGACTCAACTAGTGCCACTTGTGGAACTCTACAGTACGAAAATCAAGAAGTCTGGTTTCTATCAGAGTTCGACAAAACCTGGCTAACCTGCGGTATTTTTAGGTTCCATACAGTACTGGGTTTTGCTGCTCCTGCCAGTCGCCTCGTAGCTCCAAAGATCCTACAGATATAGCAGGTTCTTTGCCATTAGACGACAAACTGAAGCACGTGGATCAGAAGGAGATATCAGAAATGGCCTTAGCCAACTTCGATCCAGCGAAACCTGCTGAAAATCCGCTATTGGGGAGCGATCTGAGCAATGCGGAGAACCTAATTGGGGGCAGGTTTAATCTTCCAAGAATAGGGCGTCACCTTGTGAAGGATAAAAAAGGTAGGTCAAGAGTGGTGTGTGGTGGTGGTCTCTCATTTTACTCCCCATTAAGAGGGGCACAAGAGTAGGCTCCATAGAAGGGGAGGGCAAGATTGCAACGACGACTACACACCTCCAAACGTCGATCCGGAGACTTACCACGACAGCGCTCATTGCATGGAATTTTCCGACGTCTGGTACTCCATGTATAAAATCGTTCATCCAGAAATCAGCCACTCGTTGGAGATCAAGATTTTTGAAAAAGTGGGAATGGGAGGCAGTCGCATTTCCTGGAGGAGAGTAAGCAGCACCCCCATTGTTCTGGGCACCGCCAATCCTCGATATGCCAACCTGGAAGGTAATTTTTGGTCGTCCTAAATCTTTCAGTACCTCAACTTTTACTACTTACGTTTCACCAATGATTCCTAAATTCTAAAAAGATGAAAAACATGTTTGAACAACCGTAGGTAATCAGGTTCAAAATATTCCACCAGGCGTCATAATCTTCTCGGCTCCACCTACCGAGAACTGTATTTAACTGGGTTTTATAAGAAATTTCCGCTGCAATTTCAAACCTAAAATTGTCAAGTCTGCAATTTCAGGCACAATCTTGGCCTACTATTCGGTAAACGAGCAAATCGACAGCGAATTTGCGTTGGACTGTAAAAGCCACTTTCTCCTCATCCCTGAAGTGGCTGGAAGAAACCCGCAGGAAAACCAACATCCGGAGGCCAGCGGCGGACCGTCCGAGTATCTGGTGGTGCGGGAAACCGATATCGACATCAGCGGCAAATCGTGCAACAAAGCAGGTACCACTTGGTTACAACTGTTAACTGGGCTGAATGATATTGAAGAGTTTGAAGGTGTGGGGTTTGAGGCGTTTGCGCGTCAGCCGAGACGTTGCGACAACGATCGCGGTTCCTGCCTCCAGAACCAGCCGAGGCAAATGTGGCAGCACGACCACGATTTGGAAACAAGCGGAAGAAAAGGCTGTTATTTCCTGAAGAACTACGGGCTGCTGCCGGCCGAGCCAGTACGCTCCAAGCCCTGCAATGGAAGCTCGAAGAAGACCCAGAATAAGCTTCTGTACATGTATTATCTGCCCCCTGTTACCAGCAACGTAAATATCAACTTTGCTGCTGATATGAACGCAATCTTAAAACCAGATGCTTTGGCAATGATCACCGGTAGGAAATTTTCTCAATTTTCAAGCGGTCGTTGATGGTTTGGTAGGGAAATTTGCAGAAGTTTACACGGAAACATTGAATCCAAAGCGAGTAACAGTGACAGTGAAAATCTTGAACTCCGGCCTGGTCACCAGTGTGTTTTTTGTGGGAATAGGAGCGTGTCCTCTGGAAATTCCTGCCAGCTTTGGAAGCATCAGCTCCCAGCCGGTTCTCATCGCACCTCAACATCAGCATATTTTTACCTTGGAGATTTACTGCGAGCTGCCCTTAACGAACTTCTACTGTTCTTTGGAGGTGTTCAATATGAAGCAACAGCTGGTGGCGGTGCGAAGAATTCGTTTCCAAAAAAGCGACCGCTGCATTTGCGTCTGGTACTGCCAATGTGTCTGCTTCAGCGCCGACTATGTTCTCAAATGCACCCCTATGGAAATTGAGCAGTACCACGCAGCAGGATTTCAAGGTACTTTGAAAGGACACTGTTTATCTCCTCTGCAGCATTGTTGCTATAGGGGGCATGCCCATTACCACGCAAGTGGTCAATTACTCATTTTTCGACGACTCTTTGTCGGTCATGTTGCACATTGTGCTCTACTTTTGCCTCACCCTCTGGTATATGGGGGTTATCAAGGCGGCTGTGGGATGTTGCGTATTGCCGATTGGCCTTTGGGGGTTGGATCGAATTTTAGAACTTCCCAAGAAGCTAAATCAGTGAGTATTAGTGAGGAAATTGCGGGGTAAGATACAATCAATTTTGTTTAAATTTCCTGCTAATCCCATCAGATATGGAAGATCAATAACCGTTGAAATGACGAAGGCATTGTCCACTTTGATCTGTTATTTCGATAAGTTTCTAGCTCTACTCAGGGTTATCATCAGACCATGATGAGGAATGGAAATTTTGGTTCGAACCCAAAAATGTCCAGTAGCTCTCTTGTTATTCACTTTAGAAAAAAGTCCAAACAGAGACTTTTCAGAGCTATTCAGTGGCTCGTATGCCTGTGTGTATCTATCTATGTATCTATTCGCTGCTTCAAATGGTCCCATACAAAGTGCCTAGATTTCGCGACGGTTTTTTTCTCATATCTATTTTTTCAACATAATTCTTTCTTTCACCTATGAAGGTATTATGAGCCTGAATTAAAGCAGGAAAAAGTAATCTACGACGAAGAAGGTTGGGCGATTCATCCAGAAACAGGCAAAAAAGTGAACAACGTGGCACCTCCAACGCAGTTTGCCATCAACATGGTGTTCTTCTTCATTTTCCCGTTTGCAATTCTCTGGAACCTTGGCAAAAAACTGTTAGCTCCCAAATATGCTCCACATAAACGGTTTAGTGAGTTGGACATTTGCAAGTGTAAAGCGAGCCAGATTAGCTTGCTGAAGGAGTTCGGGTTGCAGGAAAGTACTAAGAAGAAAAACCAGAAGAATTCAAGTATTCAATTCAGTAAGCAATTGCGGAAATGAAAAGAAACTTTGCGGAAGTGTTCAAATTTTATAGGAGAGAGCAGTCGGGCTGAAAGCAAATCGAGCCAGAAGGGCGAGGCAAAGAAGAAACAAAGCAAGTGCCGGCTACTTTGTCGCGCAAAAAGCCAAGAAACCTGATCTTATTGTTGGATTTTATATTGCATTTTATTTACTGGTTTGTCTCAATAAATCAACATAAAACGGACTGCTAAAGAGCTGACAACACAACAACCTCCTTGAAAACTCATTTATAGGTGCCGACAGAAGGCGGAAGTCTTCCGACGGATTCTCACAAACCGCCTTTCCATTTTGGGGGCACTTTGAAACCCGTAAAGTCGTACTGAAAACTATTCGAATTGTAGTAAGGGACCTGAGTTGGAAAGCTCGGCTCTCACAGTCTTTCTGTGTGGAGGAAGACAATTTTGCCGAATTCGCAGCGTAAAGACTTTTCCCTCTATTTGGGAGATTCACTACTGTAAATATCCCTTAACAATATTTGAATTTTTGTGCAAAAATATTTTTTCAAAATATCCATTTAACCGCGCACTATTCTAATTAATGGAAGATGAATGCTAAGCCATTTGACTTTATTAGGCGAGCGCCCCTTGTTTAGGCTACTGTTTCGATTCGGTTTTAATTGGCTGAATAAAGCCCCCGATTTAACACATCAAGTTGTAAAACACTTAAACACTTAAAATTATCTTGCTTAATTGGGCCCGAAATAGTAAACACTTTTAGGCCGAATTTAAAAAAGCGCATTATTAGTGGTGTTAAGAGGTACTAAATTTTGGCTTCTTAGTTTTTTTTCCCTGCGGCGCTCAAATTAATTAAGAGCCAACGACTCCATCAGAATGGATTAAATTCATGGGATTTATTATTGTGTCTGTACTGTTATCAACTATCTGAAAAATGCATTATTGTTTAAAAAGATGTTAAACTGAAAAATGGTTGTTTCCGGTGATAAATAGTTGTGCCGAAACCATAAAAAATACATTTATCCCTCTCGTGCAAATCAATGCAATGCGAACCCCTAATTTATTCAGCATGGTTGTAGTGGCCTTCGAGTTGCGAGTTTGGGCCACCCTGGTTTTGTTAACTTATCTCGTATAGTTTTTTATAACTGTCAATTGTTTAAGAAAAAAATGCCAAAGCAGGTATTTGCGCGTACAGCTCTTGAAGTCCTCTATCCAAAAGCTTCTAATGATGAGCAAGCTATTTCCAACAGTTTCTTGGATACCTACATACGGTTTTCAACTACTGATAATTTTGCTTTTATCTGTTCATAGGTTATGTCTTTTTGATGAAGCTCAATTAGGGCAAGAGTGGCAAGACCGAGGATGCGAAACGATAATATAGTCCGGTGGAACGTCGAATAAAGACCAAATGAGCAACATAAAGCAAACAAACCCTTTGAAATTAAAACAAATAAAATAGGGACACAAATTTAAGTTTACGAGATAATTGTGTCGTGCCGTAAGGTTGAACCGTATTATTTTTCTCGGTATAGAAGTGAGCCGTCGGACTAGGGGCGGATAACGTAGGGACACTAATAGCACGCCCGGGAATTCACCCTAATAAAAGTGTAAATCCTGGCGTAATACGAAGTGTTCATTGAAAATAAACAATTTTTCATCCTCCCTAATTGGCGAAAATTATTCTAACGCCGTGGAGGAGATCGTTTTCTCTATAGATGACTCACTAAATAATAAATAGTTTTCTTGAAATTGATTTATCTGTGGATTTTGTCTTCTATGTTTGAGTCGTTATCTTAACGAAAAAGCCCAGCTCGACTATTTTCAACCGCTTTTGCATGGGATTCTGGAGCTTTGGGCATAACTGACATTTTGGTTTCCAGATTTTCAGGCGTTTGTAATTCCTTATAAAGTACCTACATATCTGATAAAAAAAAAACGTAGTTTGTGACACGCTCTGCCATTTCTGAGATACGCTCGTTGAAACTTTCACGATGTCTGAAATGAACACATTTTTGCTCCTTTTGCTAAAAAAATCCTTAGACGTTAGCAATTTCTCGTAAAGTCCTTAATAAAAAAACAGTTTTTGGGACGTTCTATTGAAGAGGTCAACTCAGATAAGACAACTCAGCTAATTTAATCCATTTTGGGGATATTGAGAAAAAATTGAAGAACAGACAATTCTCATCAAAGTTCAATAAAAATTTGTAAAGGAAATGGGTTGAGATGAAGAAACGTTCCGAAACAACCGACGTTATTGCGGTGTTAAGCACTATAAGCGAACGCCCAGATTATATTCTATAATTAAACAATTACCCCACGTTTACACGCCTCGAGGGAAACCGAGGAGAAAATTGGCTGGGGCTGGGTTATAAAGGCTGCTTATTCCCTTATGATATTAATAACGCGTAACCGGAGACTGCCGAGGCATAATGGCTCTTAGAAGATGAAACAGTGAGCGCCAGATTGCCAGCTGAATGAAAAATGAGCCAACACTTTGCAATTTTTTAACAAACATATATGAGAAAAACGACACTTTCTTGGCTGGCTTGACTTGCAACGTTTCGGTTGATTGTATCTTCAGGCAAATGATGAAATAAAAAGACTTTCAATGATTTATTATTTTATCTGTGTACCATGCAGACAATGGACGTCCGAATAAATCATTCAAACGTTATTTTTCTGGATTGTCGCTTTTCCCAGAGTGTGATGGGATTTTGAAAATTTACTTAGTTGAAATTGGAAAAAGGCAGCTGGTTTTAACGCTACTAATGGCTCTATTACAATGAAAAAATCCAATTTTGACACATTTCCGGTGAATTCTTGACGAATTTTTCAAACTTTTTCATGTACATTTTGGGCGCTTTATCAAAGATTTTTAAAACGTTTCTTATTCCAAAGAAAAACTGCGTATAAACTTGAATAATAAAAGTTATGCTTTTTCCCTACCCAGCTTGTAATGATTTTTGAAAAATTCGCCAGCAGAAATTGTAAACAAACAGATAATTGGTTTAAACGCCGTAAAAAAGGAAAAATATTGCGATTAGGGCAAAAGGTTTGAAATTTGAAATGGAAAGAATCCAAATTAGCCAAAAAGCACTCAACATTATCAGGTTATCTAATCACTTCAAATTTAGAGTTAGTTAACCGAATCAACATTATTCAAGTGATTAAATTGAGTAAATAAGGCAAAAACTGTTTTATTTACTATTCTGCAATCAATCATCTCATTGAGTATCATTGATTAAGCCGAATTATCTTCAATTCGTATCAAGAAGTTTTAACGTGTGTTTTAAAATTATATTATTTTTCGTGTAAAGTCTTCGCAGACAAAATAACCTATTTAAGTGTGAATGTTTTTTGTGAAGAAATTTATCGGGAAGTTGCAAGCCTCACTCAGCAGCTGAGTCTTTTGCTGCCTAAATAGCGTTCGCTGTTCTTCAACCCCTAAAGCCTGCACTTGATTACGCCGCTGATATTTTCCCACTTCTAGATACCGAACGTTCTTTATCTATTTATTGATTATTAGTAGAACTTATCGGGCCGAATTCATTGTAAGTGGAAAAATGAATACACAACTTTAATCGCCCAAAGCGAAATCATGAACATTTCTTTTGAAGGTAAACGGATTCTGGTGACGGGCGCGGCATCAGGTAAGTCCCATACCGCCTACTTACTTAGGGATCGAATCGTTTTACAATCGAGATATTATGTATCTGCTAATGAATTGAATAATCGAAAGAACCAATAAACAAAATTATTGAAGAATTGAATCTGTTTTGTTTTTCGGGTTTTTAAGCCGTCGTAGGAAAGGATTTCTGCCTGACGTTTCGCAATCACGCGCCGCAAACATTTTTTTAGGATTTTGGCAGTGAAAATATTTACCCATTTTATGAATCGACTTTCATTAAACCAAAACTGGCTTTGTCATTTCAGAGCGTAGCTTGCGTCGGTTTTCTCACTCGCGCCCATATGAGCCTCTATTTATGGAAGCATCCGGACCGCCCTGCGATGCGTTGCTACGTTCCAACTTTCATTTTCAGTTCAATCAGTCTTGAACTAGACAAATTTAGTTTAGTTGTCAGGAGAAAGTTTTCTATGGCGATTTCAATAATTGCACTTTTTTCAAACTTGCCAGATGAAGTTAGAACTTATTTCAACAGGCATTGGTAGGGGAGTCGCATTGCGATTGGCGCAGTTTGGGGGCACTGTGATCGCTCTGGATCTATCTGAAGAAGGCCTAGGCAAGTAGTTTAAACTAAGGATAAATGAAAGCTTTGTATAACGTCAATGATTTTCAGCCAGCCTAAAAACTGAGGTTTCCTCCATAGCTACACGCGTAGCTGATTTAGCTGACTGGCGCTCCACTCAGGAAGCTGTCAAGTCTTCGCTGCCCATAGATTACTTGGTAAACTCAGCTGGATTGGTGGATATTGCCCCAATGGCAGGAATAACCGAGGAAAGCTACCAAAGGTACGTCAGCGGTTTTATCGTCCATTAATTGCTTTATCTTGCCAATTAATTGCAGGATATTTGACGTAAACATTAAAGGTCTGATCTCAGTAACACAAGCAGTAGTAACTGATTTGGTGGAAAGGAAATCGGCTGGATCCGTCGTGAATATTTCCTCGCAAGCCTCACAAGCCGGCTTGCTCAATCACACAATTTACGCAGCATCTAAAGGGGCTGTGGATGCATTTACTCGCACTTTAGCGCTCGAATTTGGACCGAAGAATATTCGCATCAACTGCGTGAATCCTACAGTTGTTATGACGCCTCTCGGACTCCAAGCTTGGGCTGATCCCACCACCAGATACGCCATGTTGGCGAAGATACCTCTACAAAGGTAAGCGATTATGCTTTTTTCATTTCTGATGCTTCGAAATGAGTGTCACTTTAGCGCAGGTCTTGTTTGAGGGTTTATAGGTAGCGCATAAAAAATCAGCTATTCTCGCAAAATACTGAGATACTCACAAAAACTACATCAGAAATGCGGCAACAATGCATTTGGTTGGATCTGTTAATGAGGTTTTAATCATCTACCCTACGTTTCGTATTCTGTTGGCTAGTATCTGATATACACAGATAATTTTAGTGTTTTTGTAAATGTTAGTGTTGGCTACCACGTACCAGAAATAGATACCTATGAGACATTGCTAATCAATGTGACATTAACGTCATTGCCTACGGTTTCTGACACAGCCATTAATAAAAACTAAGTTTTGCGGTTTGTAAACCGCATTCGCCTTAACTTGGGTAGTTTAAAGCATTGGTATCGGTTCAATTTGGATATTTTGTCAAACTTTATTTACTTTTTACGCAATTCTTTTATTCAAATGAAAGGTTGGTTGTTGTCAGAGACAAGCACTTGTCTCTCTTGTTGTGACCTTCACTTCTAAAGGTGTGACCTCAGTTCACAGCATCATGGCGGTTTAACTGGTTTGTGAATGTTGCCATTTTGTGGTATATACATAACAATTTTTTTAACACAACGATTCTTTTTCAAGTGAAACTGTCAAGAATACGGTTTTGCTTCTTCCCAAGCGCATTCGCCTTCAATTGTACACTTTAATGGCTTCCATTAATAGTCACATTCGTTGATGTCCTGCATAGTTTTTTCGTTTGCAGATTTGCTCAAATTGACGACGTGATCGATGCTGTCGTCTTCCTGCTAAGTGACAAGTCCAGTATGATAACCGGACATTGTTTGCCTGTGGATGGCGGTTTTCTCTCCTGCTAAACTCATCTCGGGAGGCCAAAATTAATGTTAATTTCAATGAAACAATACAAAATATGCCAACATTTCTGCATTAGTTGACTGGAAACTGGATGTCGACAAGAATTCTTAAATTAGATATCCAGGCGCCTTTTAATATAAATATAAATGAACTTGTAACCGATTTACAGGCGGTTTCAGGGTCGTTATTGTTCGTGTCATTTGCGTAGTGAGGCTGAAGAAATAAATAGTGGCAACTGCAATAACGATTGGGACTAGACTTCGTAGATTCTGAACATCTGAAAAAAACTCAATTTATCTGCGTGTTATCCGGTCGGGGCTTTTAGGAAGAAACAGCACCAACCGTTAAATAATGTTTATTATCGTTGCTAAAACTACCTATACAAAATGTTGCTTGTAAATTAAACTCTGAAACCAAACAGTAGTTTTCCACAAGTTTCGCTCTCTACTAACCCTATGAATACTGAGTGAAAATCAAAATACAATGCTAAAACGACGGTTTACTGTTTAAATGCCTACAGCCAGAGTAAAAGCGTAGAAACTCAACTACTCTCTACAGGTATCTTTGTGTATCGAGACAGCTTAACCCTAACACTAACTAAAGAATGTGCTTCAAAAAATTGCCAATGTGAAGATTCAGGCTGATGCTGAAGAATTGACCTTCTTCTGTCTTCTGCGTACCAAAAAACCCCGAACTCCTGCCTGGATCTTCACGGCGGACTTTTCCTCTAGATCGGAGTCTTTCATGTTTTCCTTCGAGCTGCGCTTCCTTAGTTGCCTTTTTTGGTCAACTGCAGCATTCTGAAACCGAATAATCCCAATCATAAAAGTTGCCACACAAATCGAGAAAACCTTTATTCTTTTACAATGTTTGCCAGCTAATTTAAGGCTTTAATTGGGCATTTAATTGCTGGGAATTCATGCGTTGTTACGTACGCAGTGCTTTGCTTGGAAACACGACCTCGAATTTAACGGAATTAGTTAATATAACCCATTTTGTTTGTAACTATTTAACCAGTAAAGTTTACAATTTGCCACTCCTACTGTAAGCAGGGTACTTATCTACAGATGTCGGGCATAACATAAAATCGTTATAGAAACATAAGATGTTTGAATTTTTTTCCTAGTTTTACGATATATTATTCGGACAGGTTTTTATTCTGGTTTTTTAAATACTCAGCCGCATTTGAAGTGCTTTTTGTTTATTTGATACGTCGTTATTTTCCAGTACTGAAAATTTCAATTAAATTTTCATTTCTTCATGTTCATTTCTCAATATTTCAAATGATAGAAAATGAATACGGGTGGATACCGCAAAGCCTTGACCCTTGAAAGCATTGCACTGAATAAAAAACGAGCTTACAATCGATCACTTCAAAAGCAACGAAAAGTAGTGCGAAACAAGCATCAATTAGATCAGCTAATGCACTAAAAACATCATTTAGCTGCTTTTCTTGATGAATCGCTTGTTTTAGCTTTTAGCATTGACCTTGCCACAATGTGTAGGTACGGGGTTAGTTGCGTCCATCTTCCATTAGCTGGGATCGCACTATCCGAAAATACAGTGCGGTAAAAATAGCAAAAAAGTTAACTTTGACGTCAACTAAAAGCTGAAAAATTCAGCATTATCAGCGCACTAAGGTGAGTCTTATGACATGAATTCTACGTGACTGGGATTAGGCAAGCGACCATAAAGTGCTCACTTACATCACATATGAAGACCATGTTTGCTCGATGTGAAAACCCGCACTAGTTTGGATCGAATGAATTGAAGCGAACACAAATCATCAATTTTTAAGTGGCTGGAATTGACCTTTTACCTAGTTAGTTTTCATTGAATGAACAGCTATGTGTGTATGTGTACGAAAGGGAAATATGGATTCACCGGAAGTCGCGCTCTATTGGCTGAAAACGAGAAAAGAACTGAAACCCACCTTTGCTTTGATCTGTTTCCTCACTTGGTAGCCCCGGAATCCAGCCTGGATCTTAGTGGCTGCTTGTGTTTCCATGTTCTTCTCGTTGCAGTTGTTGTTGTTGATCGCGTTGTTTCTTCTCTTGTTTGCCTGCCCACTTTCCATTTCCCCGCTAGCAAAGCGCGACGTTTGCGACTGATTCGAAGCGGCTCGAAGCTGGCCAGGCGCGGTGTCTCTAAGCGACGCCTGCGCCTCAGGGCGTCGCGACGTCACGGCCTCAACACCTGCTGCATTTCAATGCAAATCTTGTTCTTGATATTTGGAAAATTTCACGTTGAAACAGAAAAACACGCCACTCGAATATCTGAACATCTAGGTACTAAAACCTTTGTAGTAAGTTGTAACCTAAGTAGTCATTCTTCGATCACTCTGTACATAGCAGTTGCATGCGCCCTTTAGATCCACCGTGTATTTTGAAACTTGTACAGGAACTAATCAATAAGATGCTTGTTTCCCTCATGACAAAAAACTGGATCATGTATATTTTGGTAGTAGATACTGGCAGGAAATACCTGTGGAAACGTGTTTATTTGTTCTGTAAAGTGGGACGACGACGCTTATTAGCCTGTGGGAGTTTAATTAACTGAATTTGTGTGCCAAACAACACTGTAAGGCGCCTATAAACTATCGCGAGATGTTTCCAATCGCTCCGAGAGAAAACAAACATTTAGTAGTATTCCAGGATTTGCATCCAGATACTGGCAAGAATCGCGTCAGGAGACCAGGGGCGCCTCGTTTTCCGTTTGATTGGAAAAAAGTACCGTTTCTGATCCTCACAAATTTATAGCGCAACAATAAATGTAAAACTGGCCCTAAATTTTGGTAAATGCGGGTCTTAAACATGCTTTTTCAGTCTTCAGTCAAAGCTCTGACAAATTTGATTTTTTTTCAATTCAGGCATCAATTTGCAATGTTTATCATCCTTAGAAGACACTCCAGTCTAAACACATGGCTTTGAAAAGTCACATACAACTAAAATTTTTAAACAATTTTGAAGTGTCGATGTTCCGAAACAAAGTAGAAAAATCGCTTCAACTTGATTATTGTAAATCAGTTTTTTATTTGTGCCCTCCAAAGCAGGCCTCGCGTGCCATTTTTTACAGTTTGTGGTTCCTTCCATAAGTAAATGGTCCCAATTGCAAGAATCGATCGGCATACGTAAAACTCCGTGCAGCAACGTGTTTCTGGATATTTTTAGCTACTTATTAAAAATTCGATTTTTCACTGAGTAGTCAAACGCGAACGTCACGGCCGTTCCAGATTCACCAAAACGTCTATTTTCGCACGGAAGAACAGAGGCGTATCCAGAGCGCCTAACCAGACGTCTGCGCTTGATCTTAGCACCGACGCTGGCCGGCTGGATCGGATTCTGGCACGATGGGGATTAATTTTTTTCTTAATGAGTCTGTCAACCTCTGACGCACGTTGCTTTTTCATCAAAGAAACGTATTTTCGTGCTCATTTGACGCAAAGTCAAGCGGTATTTTGGTGACTCGGATGACCATGGCGGAGTGCATTAAATGACAAGGTGAAGTCCACTTACTATGATAACAAATACTTGACCTGGTGCCTGCTGGACTGTTTGGTTACCACTGTCCACAGTGTGGATTCGATTGGGGCCTTCTAGAAGCAACTGCTTGGAATCGTTGGTGATCTTCATATCGGCGCCACTGGGCAGAGGAACCACCACAGTGTCGTGGAACTCACTGGTGTGTCTCAGACCTTCATTTTCTTCGATCAACTTTAGATCTTTACTCGGCTGCTCTTCGCTTGCGTTCAGCTTAACAGCCACCAACACTGAATCGTGCAGTTCACTGGTGTGCTGCAGACCTTCGGTCCGTTCTTCTTTGAATGTTGATGCCATCAGGTCTGCGTCTTGAACGGATTGGTTGGAGCTTTCACGTTTTGCTTCATCTTCCTTCGTTTCGGCTTCTTCCTCTATATCGGGCAACTCTCTCAACGGAGTCCGGACACCTCTCGTTTCGTACACGTTGTCTTCCTCAGGTGCGAAAACTGCTAAATATATTTTAATATTGGATCATTCATTGAGATTATTTCACTGTTTATTCAATAGGTGATTTTTGGGGTTTGCAAATCCCAAAAATCACCGAATTGAAGATAATCGAATTCAATATGAAACCCGTTGCAGAACAGGATTCTTCCATTTTCCAATGGAAAGCATTATGTTGACGGAAGTTTATTTGTCCGTCACTGTCCGCAAATTGAAGTGACTCCGAGCAGCTGCTTTTCGAAAAATAAATTTTTCTTCTTTAGACTTACTGCTTGTGTGTGAAGAGCCTGCCAACCCATCAAACTCGTAGAAATACTCCATTGGTTCGGGGGAATTCGGATTATCGTCCTGACTGGTGTACATTGTGGCAACATCGTGCAACTCTCTCTCCAGATGGTCGATCTGGAACGAATCCACTCGTTTTCCTGAAAGTTGATCCAGCAGCGAGTTCTGGACGTGGTCGATAAACTCCACGCGATCCTCTAAAGAGCTGGTGGACAACGCTCGACTGGGCAACTCCTTGTTTTGTTCCCGATTCACCTTCGTTTCGTCTTTAGGCTTCAACACCACAGTTACCACAGAGTCCGCTGATTCAACACTGCTCAGATCATCCAGCTGCTGATCGTGAGAGCCGCATTGACATTTCCCGGGGAGCCCATAGGTTTTTTCATCCACTAGTTGGTTCAAAATACCTTCAACTGCTTCCTTAACATCTCGCTCCAGCTCTGCTTTCTCTTGAGAATTGTTGTTGGGGTCTCGCTCCAAGCTGATTCTTTCGGGCTTTGTATCTTCCACCTTATCATCACTCAAAGGAGGGATTGTCGATTTAATCACTTGGAGTTCTACAACTGTATTCGACCTGTAAAAATCCGGTTTTTCAGCTACAGAATTCTCTATCTGAATGTCCAAATCTTCCTCCGCAGGCCGGGAAGCATTTTCTCCTTCTATTATGGCCTTCTTTCCTTCAACTATTTTATTGGCTCTAGCAACGTTTTTATCCATTGCAGGATCTTCAACCCCCGGGTCATCCAAATATTCTTTTACAGCCTGGATGGGTTTTAATTTTTCAAACTTCAACCGGTCTACAAACCCTCTGAAGACTGGTTGGATTTTAGCAGCTGTCCGATTTTCATCGCGCTGAAAAAAGTTGGTTAAAGGAAGAAATAGAAATAGGAAATTAAACTTACCTGGATTTTTGACTGATTCAGAATCTTCCTGGTAATGAAACCTTTCCAAGCGGCTTGAATTGTGATGGCAGCCTTTACATCATCATTTCGAGGGGAAGAACCGACCCAATTTCCTTCAAGAATATCTTTTAATCGTGCTTCTTTCTCGGCATTATCGTCTATATCAATTTCACTTATTGACGCGTGATTGTTTTCTGACTGTTGATGTTTTGCTTCTTCATTTTGCGCTCCTTCAATTTTTCTGCTTGTATTTCCAGCCGAAATAGTTGCACAATCTTCATCAGTCTCTTGTCCGTTCAACATTTCTTCCTTTACTTCTACAGATCTGTCATCATTTTCTCTCTCTTCAGTTTGGACAACGATCTTTGTCGCAATTTCCTCTCCTGATGGGTTTGTAAGTTCTTGCTGAGAAATGTCATTTACCACTTGGCTCCTATTTTTATGGAGATCGTTCATAGCTTCATTATCTTCATTTTTCTCGATCTTTGCTTCGCTTGATTTATTCGGAATTTCTAAATTGCCTTCTGCTCCTTTCCCATGGCTAGTAATGGGTTTTGCGAGATATTCAGGTTTTAACTCATTCACTTGCTCGGTTGCAATTTCAGTTCCCAGAATGGCTTCGTCTGTTATGAGTGTGTCTTTAATTAGTTCTGTATTTTTATGTTCAGATGCGAAAACGCTTCTTTCTGCAAATTCTTCTTCAGCTTGAACTTGATCTTCTAAAACTTCTCCACGAAGTCCTTTAGGTGAATGATCGGTTTGTTTTTTTGATTCTTCAGTTTTCAGCTTTTCGTCTAGATCTGCTTCTTCTTCTCCTTTAGGTGCGCTTTGAATTCGTTCTGCAAGTTTTTCCTCTTTAGCGTTTACACCAGGGTCCAAATCTGTTGTTTTATCTTCTTTATTAGGTGCCCCATCATTTTGCTTCGTTGAATCTTCAGTTTCAAATTTTACACTTGGATGAGCTTCTTCGGTTTTACCCACTAGATTTTCTTCTTCTTCTTCTCCAGACGAGCATTTAATTGTGCCTGCATGTTTTCCTTCAACGTTCAAGTGAGAGTCCAAAATTGTTGTTTTACCTTCTTTATTAAACTCTGTAATTTTTAACTTTTCACCTACTTCCAGTTTTTCAATGTCACCTGTTCGACTTACATTTTCTCTTTTAGACGCGCTTTTAATTGGTTCTGTATCTTTTTCTTCATTATTAGATGTCACACCACTTTGATCTGTTGACTCTTTCGGTTGAAGCTGAATTTTACTTTCTGGATTTGCTTCTTCTTTCGATGTGTTTTTTGTTTCTTCTGAATCTTTCAGGACAACAAAATCTATGCTTCCTTTTGTGGGTTCTCCATTGTGTTCTTTAGATGCTTCAGCACTTGATTTTTCAATTTTGCATTCTAAACTAGATTCTTTGTCTGTTGCTTCTGCTGTTTCTTCACAGTATAAAACATCTTCCGAGATATCTGAATTTTCTTCTTGACGTTTATCTTCATACTGTCCGTTTAGAGCTGTTTGGCCTTGATTTACCTCTAGCAAAACTCCTTCTCCTGCTTCCATGCAATGTTTCGAGTTGCGTTCACCTACTTCTTCGATATTTTCGTGAAGAACAGCCTTGCTCTTTTCCAGATTATCTGACAACGATTCGCTTATTTTATTATCGTTTTTGTTTTCCACCAAATGGCCTTTTTTAGCTTCATCTTTACCTGGACAGTTCGAAACAGCCTCAGAGCTTTGGTTGGAGGCTTCTATGGCTTCGACAATTGCTTCTTTTTCTTCCTTAGATTCGTCTACTCCTGAGTCCGCATTTTCAAGCCTAACCACGCTTTTGGGCCTGTTTGTACGTCGTTTATCATTGTCGCGTTGTTCCTTCATAACATCTTCGGCCAATGCCATTTTAGAATTATCTTCACTCTGATGCTTTAAAACAGATTGACTTTCTTCGATATTTTTTACTCCAAAATTTTCAGATTTTTCAACTGCTCCATTTCGTTCTTTAGAAGTGTCTTCACTTTGATCTTCTGTGACTCCTTTGTCGCCTTCAGTTTCAACATGGCTTTGGAAGACTGATTCACTTGTCTCTTTGCTTGATTCATTAAGGGGTTGTCCGCTTTCATCACGCTTCTCAACACCTTTCGCCGATGCTATGGTAGTTAAAGAACGTGGAATAATAATGTCTTCATTTGCTTCCTGCTGACATTCAAAGGCAGAAGAAGAGTTTGGTTTATCTTCATTAATTGTCGGTGTGTCTACTGAAGCCAGTTGGTCCAGAAGCTGCTTAACGGCCAACACGTTTGTGCTTGTATCTTCCACTAGAGTATCTGTCATACTTCCGTCTTGTTTGCTTGGTTCTCCTTCTGCCCCTTGAAAAATTGTTGTTGCTATTAAGGCGTTATCTGCACTTTCCAGTGTTTTACTGGAATCTTCCTTTGAGCCGGATCTTTTGAAGTTCAAATTTTCCTCTAGTTCTTTGCTGTTGGCTTCCAGTTGTCTCACCAAGGGGCGCCTAACAGCTGATCTTCGAGCCGAAGTTGGAATTTTACTTCTGGTTTCCAATTCTCTAGTCTTGATCAGTCCGACTGATTTGGTTCTTCTGAACTGGCTCGAAGCATTCCGTTCGTTTAATACAATTGTTTGTGACAGAGGTCTTTCTCTGTTGGACTTCCTCTTTTCATTAGCACTGGACTTTCCGATGGTTTTTGGGAGAAATACATGCTTCTGCTCGTTTTCCAAGAAGGTGGTTAGGTACTGGCTAACTGTAGCTGACTTAGCTGCATTCACAGCTTCGCTTCCATAGATATGCTTCACCACTTCTATAACTGAAGCGACTTGGTCAATGTCGCCAATTTTCGGCCTTTTTTTCAGCATCAAGGAGTCTTCACGATTCTGTTGGTTTTCTAATAGAGATGTGGAATTCGCTTTACCAATTTGTACACCGACTTTCTCAACAGGTCTGGTGTCTTCTTCAATTGCTTCACCGTTGGAAGTTGTTGTTCCATCATCTCCTTCAGCGTCCTTAACCATATCTTCACTTGTGGCTCCTCTTTTGCGTCTTTCAGTCCTCATTGTAGCACCGCCATCGCTTTCCTCGCCATCTGCAATGATTAGCTTGAGACCAGAGTAGTTTTCTGTATCTGTGGATCCAGATTGACTTATTTTTATTCCCATCAGCGTCCTGTTGGCATCTAAGTCCAGAAGCTCTTTAACTGAATTAAAAGCCATCAAGCTCTCCTGCCTCAGAAGGACGTGATCTTGAACGTCTGATGACGAAGATGACGATTTCCAATCTTGCTCCAGAGTTTGTTGTCCTGTGGCTTCCAAGTCTTCAATTTTAGAAGAAATGGGCGGCTTGAAAACGTGCTGTTGTTCATAGTTTAGGAAGCTATTCAGCAAAGCTTTGGTGTTTGTGGTTTTTTCATCTCGAGCTTCATTGCTTAAAGCAGTGGCGACTCTCAACGACTCCTTCGTTTGTTCCGTTTGTTCTTCTTGATTGAAGGCGCCTATCAGCGCCTTGGTTGAAGTATCACTAGTAGTAGAATTCATTTCTTTATCTTCTTCAGCCACCAGTTCTTCAGAGCTCCGAAAAAACGTTGTGGGTTCGGGCACGTTGCTCTTGACTGCTTCATTTGGTTTTTCCTTAACGAATTCGGACGAATCTTCTGACACTGTAACTATAAGGATGTCGTCTGATCCACTTGTTTGCTTCATTTGCATATCCACGAAAGTCTCTTTGGTGGCGACTCTGTGGCCTTCTTTAAATATATTATCTACTTTTGCAGATTCATGTTGTATGCACCTTTCATTGCTTTCTTCCAGTAGAAGGGGAGCAGCGGAATGATGTCTGACAAGCATTCTTTTATCCGGATCGTCATTTGATTGCTCGGAAGTTGAAGGTGGAAATTGTAAAGCTTCTTTATTGGAATTTTCTGGAATTTTTTTGGCGTCTTGAGGAAAACTGTCTGCGCTTGGAGTATTATTATTAGCTAGAGCATCTCGTTCTTTCTGTAAATCAAGGGCTTCGTTGTCCTTATCAGCTGTAAGTAAACTCTGTTCTCTTGATTCAATGTGATTTTTAATTGTTGCTTCTTCTGGTTTAAAGTTCGGCGCTTCATTTTCCTCCTTAGATATTGCTATATCTTCAACAGGAGCTGAATCTTCAGTGAAGTCAACTATTGACGCTTGTTTGAAGGCAAGGGCCTTGTTACCTTTTTGGAGTTTTAATGAGTCTTCAACTTTAACTACTGCATCTGATTTTGAGCTCGTTTCTCTATTTCCCGCTTTAGTTGTTGCGATATCTTCAAAAGCTGAATGTTCAATTACAATTGATTCTTGCTTCAAGTCAGATAAATTATTGTTTACGTTAAATTCGGCTACGTCTGCAGTCGTAATCGTTGACTTTTGTTTCAAACCTGCATCTTCCACTTTATCTCTTGGCTCTTGCTTCAACCTCGACTCTCCAATGTACTCTTTAGATGTTGATGCATCTTCAATTGCTGAATCTTCAAGTGTAGCTGTTCGTCGTGATATTAAGTTCTGTTCTCCATTGTCCTGTTTAGATGTTGGTTTATTTTTAGGAGGTGAATTTGCATCTGTGGATTCTTGTTCTAAGTCAAGAGCTTTATTCTTCTCTCTGAATTTTACAAAATCTTTACCAAATGTCCCTGTCTGTTTCTCTGCGACTTCACTTGAAGCTGTCGGCTCTGATTCCAGGTCAGATTTTTCATTATCTTCTTTAGGTGCGGCGGTAGCTTCAACAGCGTCATGCTTCAAATCATCTGAATCATTCGCTTCTCTTGATTTAGCTGAATATTCAGAAAATGCTGTTGCAACTGCTTCATCTGAGTTGACGCTTGATGTTTCATTGTTCCCCTTAGATGCTGTTGTATTTTCAATAGGAGCTTCTACGCTTGAAGATGCTGCTTCGTTCGTCTCTCTAGGCGTCGCTCGCTCTTCAGCAAGTGAGTGTTTAGTGGTAACTGACTCTGGCTTCAAGGCACCTAAATCTTCATTCTGCTTAAGTCCTGCTGTATCTTCAGCAGCCTGAGAAACTTGATCTTTAACTGTCGCTTCTTGTTTCAAGGGAGTTTTGCGGCTTTTATCTTTAGGGTTTAATTTTGGTAGATTGGTGCTCGATGCAAGCACATCCGAGTCTAAAATTTGAGTCAGAGCTTTTGGCGCTCTAGTGCTCGATCTTTTACTAAATGGTATGACTTTCTTGTCAGGCCTTATTCTGGCTTGTTTTCCAGTTTTTTCAGAATCACTGGAGCTGGACCTGACCGGGTGTGAGATAGATCTCTGCCGTTGATCCTTCGGAGCGGGCTCTTTCTTCTGCTTTTGCTCAGGTGGTCTAGGGGGGCGACATCCGCTCCTCTGGGCTGCTGAGAGTTGTTGCGCAACGTGCCTAGAAGGTCTGGCAGGGAGGGTTTTCTTCCCTTGAGGCATGTTCACTTTGGAGACGGATTGAACAGTTCGAACGGGATAGGCTGGAAAGGGGGAGGTGAATTAAGCAGGGAACGACAGAAAAGAGAATTACTTACTTTTCTGATTGGAGGTTTGCTGGCGCAAGACAATGAGGCGAGAAAAGTACTCAGAAGCAAACACGTAGAGATCTTTGGGCTTCTGCAGCAGAACCGCCTTAGTGAGGCCCTCCATTAGTTCTTCGAGTCCCACAGGGACACTGACTCTCTTCACGATCATGCCCACCTTATCGGGGTAGTGTTCGAAGATAGAAGGCATCGTTTAGAGGCGCCTTTACATCGAAAACGCAGCATAAACTATGATTTTCAAGGGACTCAGTTTAATCTATATTTGCCGCAGTGGCTCGTTGCTATATGGACGAATACAAACATCGTTCTAAGGGTAAACCACCTTTGGTGACCTTCTGAATTTTAATGAAGTGGGAAAAGGGTTTTTAGTCTGAGAAATAAAATTCGATTTTGTTGTTTTATTTACAAAAATGTTAGTGCTTCTATTCCTATCCTGGCTAGGAATCGTACAAATCTTAATGCTTATTGTCTACTATGTGGAAGTTTCAGAATTTTTTTCGCTTGTGGGCGCAGTTGAATTGTATATCTCGCGCACATGTTTAAATTTTTGCAAATATTCGCTCTCCAAAGGGTGCAAAACAGGAGCGGGTATAATGAGGGAATGCAGCGGCCCTCCTAAGTCCACTCCGGCCATTTCCTTCAAAGAGCAGACGGTGACTTTCTGGGTGTCCGAGCCGACCCTGGCCAAGCCTATGCAAATATTGTCCTCGGCGATTTCTGTGACAGAAACCATCCTCACTTAAATAGAAAAAAATTAAGTGAGAAACTTACCCAATGGGCAGCCAGATTCTTTTCGTCTCTTCATTATCTTCAAAAGCTGCTGGCTGGCTTCACTAACCGTCATAAAACGGGAGGGCATAAACTCTTTTTTCTTCTTCGTCAGACTCTCCAAAGTGGGTTCCTTCACCTTGATGTCTAGAATGGATTTAAAACCTAACTAATCAACTGATAGAGTTTAACTTACCTAATAAACACAGCGTATGCAGTTTATTGCTATAATTTTTAGAAATTTTCTCGTAAAAACTGTCGGGCTCCCAGCCGCCAATCCAGTAAGGGATGGATACAGTTTCACCAAAAGTGTAGAGCTGCAAGCCGCAGCATCCCACAGCGTTCAGAATTGAGGCATTGTGCACGACTTTCACCTCAATGCCCTGCTCCTCAGCCCTCAGCGCCAGGTCGGTGTGAGTGGTTGCCCCAAAGGGGTCTCCCACTACCAGCAGAGCCACATTGGCGCTCTTAGACCCTTGAAGAATTTCATCAGCCCCTTGTTCCACTAGGTCTCGATCAGCCACTATTAATCTCCTGCCATAGAATTCCTCCTGCAAAGCCACCGGGTTTTTCAAACGTTAACTTTCGGCCCCCACTTGCTGGGGACAGTAATTTACCAGTGCTTCAGTTCCGCAGGTTAGAATCGATGTGTACGCTTCTAGGTAAACTCTCTCACAGCTTTTAATAATCTCCAGACCTTTAACGGTTATATCTTTGCAATCTCCGAGCCCGAGCCCGATTATGTAGAACATTGTTCAAAGTTATTTAAATAACGTTGCTAACCTAACCTCAATCTGTTTCTAGTGGTTGCACGGTTGCCGAGGGTGATTTAACCAGAGACAAGTAGACAAACAGACTTGTCTCTGATTTAACGTTTTCATTGGTTTTCATGTAATCAGACATAAATTAACCGTGTAGTAAAACGAAGCAGCAGTAAGGTGGGTTCTGTAGATACATAGTGACGCATAGATGTCTGGATCACTAGTTGCCATGTATTAAATTTGACGTTTTTTGAACAGACTTGAAACTTTTGGATGAGTTTCAGTAGCCTGAAAGAAACTGCTTACATACCAGAGACCAGAAGACTTGTCTCTGTACAAACATTCAAAAAGTGAAGTGACTTTTCTTAGTGGTGTTTCTCGAGGAGGTGCGGTTTTCGACTCATTGAAAACCACCGCAAGCAATTTTGGATAAAAATCGATGAACGCCAGTTCGCCAAAATCCAAAGTCCAATAATCTATTTAAAACTAGACAATAAAACGTTTGTTTATAAATATATTTCCGCCGCCGATTCGCGAAAGTTCGAATGGATCAAATACTGAGGTTTCGTACGCGGCTCCCGTTCTTCTACGTAGGTACCTTCCCATCACTTATGGCGCAAGTAAAATAATTTAATTTGATAATGTAATACCAGAAAAAGCGCATGTGTAACGGTGACGCTATAAAAAGCAAAAACAACATTCGCAAAATGTGTGTGGAACTTTCGCCGTCCCGACGCACATAACTTGCCGCCGTCTAAACCTTTCGGTCTTGTTTGGCGCTCGTAAGTTTGTTTTTTATCCGATTATCTCGTCCAGTATAAAACGATATCGGCGCGATATTTCCTCTGATTTGTCCGCGTTTTCCAGGTTTGTTTACAGGCGGCAGCTAAACAAACATGTAACTGTTACGGCCTTAACTATGTCCCTTCAAGAAGAGATTAGCGAGGCCGATAACTCTCCGAATGGCGACATATTTCAGCAGAAGAAGAAGCCGAAGGCTCTGAGAGTGCTAACGGTGATGGCCTACGTTCTCAGCGTCTCAATGGCTGCTATTCTGCTCTCAATCTACTATATTTTTATGTGGCAAGGCCGGCCCCATATTGGGGCTTTTGGGACTGGAGCCGTTGCCCATCCGGAATATCTTATCCAGCCTAACAATACTCATGAGTAAGCTTTGCACTGTTGTCTAAATCCTCAATTAAAAACAATTTTTTTTAGATCTCATATTTTTGGAACCCTGCAGGAGTCCACTTTGGGGCCCATCAACCAAAAAAGCGCGCGAAACGAAACGTTTCGGTAAGTCGTTACAACCTGAACAGAATGTTTATTTTCTTTGGCGCAAACATCTCGTTAGGGGCACGCAAATTTGGCCAATTTCTTACTCCAATTTCAAAACATAAATAACATTCCCGTGTTTAGCGGCAATTAGTGGCAAAGTCCAAACGGACACTAGGCAAAACAGTCGGCTGGAGACAGCGAAAAAGCAGTCGCACTTAATTAGTCTAATTGAAACATTGGCATTCTGGCACGTAGCCAGGCCAGCAGCCCTACGAAGGGATAAAGTGCGGCAATCGATACTTGTTTCCGGGCTTCCTACGTAACACTGTGTACTTTTCCTATCGATTTACAGCTTCATTTATTAGACTGTAATATTCCATCGATAAGATTATGCTGGCCGGGAACACATACAAGTGTGCACATTGCATTGAATTGCCGTTTAATTGGCGATTGATCGAATGGAACCCGCTGTGTTTGGAGGACAATTTAGGTCCGAAACCGCACAGGAAAAAATTAAATTATATTATTTAATGGGGTGACCCATTGAAAGTAAAGTAAGTCAACAATCGCCGGTGGGACACCCAGTATATGTATGTTCACAATATAGTTAGTAACTCTGAAGATGTGAGCCACTCGCGTTAGAGAAATACCAGTCTGGAAAAATCAACACAGACACTCTTTAGGGGCCCTTTCGCCAGGGCAGGCGCACTGAAAATGCCTGCCTGCAGGACCATATGATTGTCTCGGAAAATCGATTTCGCGGCCAGTGAACTGCAGTAAAATCACAACAATAATGCAGCCCTAATTTTGGCCGGCACAGATTTCCTTAGAATGATCGATTCGGGAAAGTGGAGCGAGTTTCCCGTGAGGATTGCGGCCTAAGCATGTCCTGCAAGTCGAACGGGATCAAGCTGACCAAGTGCGATTCGCAGCAATGGAAAACAGCCACCATTCTCGAGCCTCCCTCTGTGAAATTTGCAGGCGAAGAGGCCAAAGATCGACTGTACGAGCCGAAACACAAGAAAAAAATCGTGCGCGTTTTAACAGTGGTGGCCTATGTGTTTTTCGTGTCTTTGGCCGCAATCATGCTCTCGATGTATTACGTTTTTCTGTGGAACGGCACTCAAAGAGTGGCGGCCAAACTGGTTGCAAAACAGCAAAATTTCTCGGGCAATAAATGCGAAATAGTTTTAGCAGGTAAATAAAAATAAACAAACATTATTTTCTTCCAACGAGAGAAACTACCCGGTTTTTTTCTAAATTTATTTTACCCTTTTTTGATCTAAATTGATTTTATTTTTTTTATTATTCCGAAATTTCTATTGACGACGGCCGCTTAAAAACTCTGAAGTCACCCCGAAAGTCTTAACAATTTCATAAATAAATTTTTATTAAATAAAACTGATTTCTTGTTTGAAAACGTGGCTCGCACATGTCATTTCACTCGCACACATATGCATCTATAAGAGATGCACCATGGCCTTTACGGCTCAAAAAATAATGATTTTGTTCAACTTTATTTATTGACGGTTTTTGAAGCTTTTGCGGTTTTTCCAGAAATTCAAAGGCAAATTCGACTAATGGAGAGCATGAGAACGACAACAACGACAACTACAACAACAGAACGTCCAACATCCCCCATCCCGGATATGAACTTAAAATGGAAGGATGAGGATTTTAGCGACTTGGAAGACACGCGAAAGAACAGCTTCTTTTTGAATAAACTACTCAAAGAATATCCCTATCCCAGCTTAGACTAAGCGTAATTAAAAATTAGTGTGCTAGACTGTATTAGGAACCATTACTAAGAAGTAATAGTGGCTATTTTATTGATCTTAGAGGCGCAGAACTTTGCTAATGTGCCGTTGTGCTGAAATAGAAACTGAGAAAAAAATTCAAAAACACCTGGGTTGATGCCAAAGAACTACGCTCAGTATTATGTGTTCAAAGGAATTTTAATTCATTCAATTATCCTCAGTGAGCAGCATGTGTTCATCCCGCTCCGAGCTGAGCAATCGCGCCGCTCTTTCTGAGCCCACAATCGCAGCCACCTGATGTAGATCAAACCGGCTGTAGATCACAGTGACGGACATCTGATCCATACTGCCCACCTTCTTGTTCATGTTACTTTCCTGCGAAAACAGATTCACCAAGTTAATTTAGGATTAGAAAAATCGACAATCTACTTGCCTGCATCAAGTTGCACATTTCCGAGTAGAAGTGCGGGTAAGTGGGAGCCTGGTAAAACACCAAGTGCCGGATACCTTTCACTCGTATCCTGTGGTAAAAGTGGTAGCGTTCGGTGTACAGCAGAAAGTGCGCGTCTCCGTGAAAGAACATGTCCCGAGCTCTGGCCACTTTTGCGTCCTAAAACCTCCAAACCTAAGCCCCCATTTTTCTGAGCACACTCTCGTTACCTTTGAGTACTCGCATATCTGCACAAAGCTCAGATCCTCCTTCTTGAAGTAGTTCCTGATCCTCACATAGTCGTAGTAGCTGGGAATGAAAATCAGCGTCTGCTTCATTGCGTTGTCCTTCTGCCGCGGCAAAACGCTGCGTATGAAGAACTCAAACCGCCTTTCAATCATTTCAACCGCCGTGCTGGCATTAAACTTGCGGAAAACATGCTGCAAAGGCACATACACCTGATTGATATGCCCTTCTTCGGTCTTATTGGCCACTTGAACTTTACCCGCGAAATTCAAGCATTTATTGCTGAAAAGTGCGTCAATATGCGGCAGCCTGATAGCGCTGAATATCAGAGTTTGTCGATAGAATTTGGCCCACAGATTCAAGCACCAGAGTCTGACTCGCGATATATCAGTGCCGTGCAGTGCCTTGGGCTGCAGGTGCAGATGGTCGAAGATGTGCGACACATGGAACCAATTCTGCATGAAGAAAACGTCCGTTTGATCTAGAACGAGCAGTTCTATGGACGTCAAGAAGTCAAAGTCTCTTTCAGGCTCGCCTTGGGCCCCGATTATCGTCCTTAAGCCCAGTGGGGACGCCACTATGATGTCTGACGAGTAAAAATCCGAATAAAGCTAATGAAAGCCAAACAAATTACACATTGTAAAAACTCGAAAATTTCTATTCACCTTTAGGCTTTTCTTAGTAAAAGTGATTCCAATCCTGAAGTCATCGCTGGAGTTTCCGGTAAAAATCCGCTCGTAGTCCTCAGGCTTGGGGTTTTTCTTCGGCATGTACAGCTCACCTCCAGTGTAATCCTCCACAAACCGTTTCTTCTTGATCACATTCCCTTTATCCTCTGTAAACATTATATTGATGATAGTGTTAACTATCTTGTGCGCGGAGTCTTTGAACGGGGCCACAATCAAAACCTGCAAAAAATTGTTCACTTTATGCGGTTAACTCGGAGCATTTAACGCCGAACCTTCGGTCTAACCAGACCTTGATCTCGGAACTCCTCTGGAACATCCTCCTTTTTAGCCAGCTTGGAGTTGTGATGCAACACTTTGGTTCGGGTCTTTAGCACGTGATTGACCGCATGCAGGCAATAAACGAAGCGAATTTGTTCAGCATTGTCGAACGTTCGCTCTGGATAGTACAAGTCCTGGTAGTTATTCACTATGGAGAACAGCTCCTGTTGCAGAGGCGTAAAAAGACTGTTTTGGCCGATCAGGCCCTTGTTGGCTTGAACCAGGTTCGGGGCTATCTGAGCCTTAATGTAGAGCTGTTGGGTTGTACTGCTGCCATCCAGTCTCTTGGGAATGGGGCTGGGGGTTGCGTAGACAGTGGTGTCCAATAAGGTGCGCTTTTCTGTTTCCTTAAGGTAGCATTTGGGGATGAGCACGACTAAATCGCCTAGTCTCATCCACGATTTCGAGTGCTGTTCCCATAAGCCTGCCTCTGATTCCTGCAGGGCTTCCAGCAGACTGGGGTGCAGCTCATGGCAGACGTGCTTGTTGAACGGATCTTCCGATTCTTCCATTTCATCTTCCTGTGCGGCCTCTTCTTCAGATTCCACATCATTGAAGTGAGTTATTTCGTCTTCATCTAATTGACCAAGAATAAGATAAGAACTTGCATTGAAGCCTTCCGAGGAAAGGTTGGCCCATGCTTACCTGAATTACTGCCACCGGCCAAATCTACGTTGCTCTCTTCTTCAGCAACGTGTTGTTCTTCTTCACTCTCACTGCTGCTCTCACTACTGATGGCTTCGTTGCTCACTTTGCTTAGTCTGTCTCCGAAAGACTCTCTGAGAAGCTTCATATAGTCTACAAAAGAGTCCTTCTCCTCCTCGTCACTATCGGCACAGTCAACGAGTTTATCTTCATTTGGCTTCGGTTTCTTCGCTGCCGGGGAGCTTTCTTGGGCAAAATTGGGCTTTGCCTTGAAGCCACGTTTCCTTTGGGGGCCATGCGGGCCTTTACGTGATTTGTTGCCTTTTCTGAGCGCCTGTTTGGGACCCTCTCGTTTAACCACGTCTCGGTATTTGACTTTTTTGCCCATTCTTTAGGCACTCGACTATACTTTCCAATTTTTGGTTTGCTTTACATATACATAGATAAAGACGAGTACATTAATTAGATTAAGAAAATGTTACAACAATTATTTGGTTAGAGTTGGAACTGACTTCCTCGTCTTTATCTATGCTGACTTCTTCTATTTTCAACCAGTTCGGTTTTAACGTCGCTCAAGGTAGAGATCAGCGTTTGGGTTAGTTTGGGTAGTTAATACACAGATTACAGAGTGGTAGTCACAGTACTCTGTGATCTGTGGTAGTAAGACCACCGTCGTACGGTGGACTCGTTTCAGCCTTCGAGCCCATGTTGGGAAAGTGGAAGGCTTCTGCCGATAACCAAAAAATCAAAACAAAAAGTCCCGAAATGTCAAATGGCCTTGGTTAAATGTTTGAGTCTTACCAACAATGTGGATGAACCGTTGAAACGCGGTCAATAAACACGTCCTCTTGAATCAGACGCAAGACTTTAACCCTCAAGCATCATGGTGAGTTAATTTCACTTAATCGACTTCCATTCGTCAGTTGCATTGCATGTTTTTCCCAGTCTGTAGCCCAATTTCTGGCTGGTTTGCCCTCGTTTAACGAAAGCAACTTTTCAAAGTACCACACCGACAGCAACATTAGGAGTTCCTCAAAGAGGCCCTCGGTTTACATCACCACCAAGGACTATCCCGTACAGCAGGGTGAGCTTAACAGATTTCACCCTTAATTGCACCAAATTTTAGAAAATTTATATACGCTCTTCGCCATTCATCCCATAATCGCATTCGCACTAATTAGAGTTTTTCTCTAAAAGACCTTGCAGAATGTGGGCAATGTTTCTTAAAACCGCTTATTACTGATTAAGCCAAACGCATCTAGTGATGAAACCATACTTCAAGAGTTAGTATTTGACTAGCAGATGATTATTATCTAATCTTCTCTCTGATTTTTAAAGACTTTCCCTCGATTATTAGGCATAATTTGGGAAATTTGCCAGTATTGTTCTTTGTATTTTCCAGTAATCACGACAGAAAGAAGCAGCATTCTCCTGAATTATATGCAACAACACTGGGATAGAAAGGTAAAACAATGTTAAAATATGTAGAATAGGGGACTTATTTGTGGGCGGTTTGCAGGCCGTCTTAAGGAAGCGGGAAGTTACATTGTCGGAAGAGCCCAGCAGAAAACGGCAAAGACTGACCGGGCACACGCCCTAGAACGGCTCATCGAGAGCAAAACTGTTGTATATAAACCTATTTTTCCGGATCTGTACAGCGTGTCCCAGTTCAGACAAACATTAATGATTTGTTTAGTCCTCTTCCTTAAAGCCAGTGTTGGCTTCAACTGGGCATACTGTTCGGGTATTTTTCTACTTTACCTTACACCTTTCGCTCATAATTCTACTTGAATTCATCATTAAATTTGGTCGGAAATCCAGCACTGGCAAGAATTACTTGTAATTATTATGTTAATAGATTTATTTAACTATGGCTTTTCTACAATATATTTTCTACTTTAGAAGAAGATATAATTTTCATACTCAATTTTTCAAAGGACTTTGAAGAAAGGATTGTCGGTTATGAAAAAAATGGCAAAATGCACAGGATTGTTTAGTATACGTACACATTCACACTTTATTTGCATATAAGATGTCTTCTAGCCCTTCCGTATATCACAAATCAGAATCCCTATCCAGCCAATTAAATTCTGATTCCCCAAAGCACTAGCTAGGTGTTTATTGGAGTCCCTGGGGACCCCACTACGTCAATAATCTCGCCAGCGGAAATCTTTACTTCATGCTCAGTGTTGGTGAGTTGTGGAGGGATCAGCAGCGTCTGAAACAGCTTTGCGTTAATTTGAGAAACTAAGGTATACGCGTTCCTAAAATTGCTGACCTTTCCCGGAGCCAAAGCTTCGTACTGATGCCGCAGCGATTGCAGCTCAAACTCGCAAGTGGTGAGCGCTGATTTGATTTCCATGAGAAGCACCATGTCGCTCCGCAGCTCGTTGAATTGCTGGCAGATTTCCTCGGTTGGAGTGGGATTTATGTCCATGTTCAGCTCCTGCAAAGACTGCTCGATTCCCTTGGACTTCTTCTGGCCGATATTCGCTGGCAGTTTCATGCGCTGAGAGCGAAGCGATACGCCGCTGTTTTTATAATCGGGGAATTTGATTCCCGCGGTTTCCACAGCTTGGAGAATGTAGTTCGTGTCCACGCTCCTTGAGGGCCTAGAAGGATTCGGGACTTTTTTCTTAGGCATTTTTTTGTCGGTTTTCCGCGGCGTGTCGTTCTGACTGTCCGCCTGGCTGATCAGCTTTTGCAAATCCTGCGTTTTGCGTTCCCGCTCCTTCTTGCGAGCCTCAATCTTTTTCAGCTCGCCCAGCAAAAACTGCTCTTCTTCAATTTGCTCAGTAGTACGCTCATAGAGCTTGTTCAGCTGCTCTTTGCGGCGCTTTTCGTGCTCGCTGTCGTACGTGTAGATCTTCCTTTCGCCGCTGAGTTTCGACAGAGTCCCGTTGATTTTATAGTAGCGCTCTTTCAGTTCTTCAACTGAACGCTTGCAGAATTTTTCTGTATCGTAACGATCGGCCATTATGATAAAGCGTACGTCGAATCGATGCGCCAAGTCCATTAGATGATCGGTTTCTTCCTTTGACCATGTGTCTGATGTTAAATGCTGCTGGTATTCCACATCTGTGTAGGTGGGAATGTCTACCTTCTATAAAAGAATTTTCATGAGTTTCTATGCTACGGGAATGCGGAAGATTTTACCTTGTTAAACTTGGCAAAAGGATATTCTTTGGGATCATCGCTCGGACGTCTCCAGTGGTAGAATTCCGCATTGTCGGTCCTAGCAGGGTTGGTGAACGGCATCCAATTCCATTTTCGGGGCTTTCTCATTCCTAGCTTGATTTTTACCTGCTTGTAGCCATTTCCACCTGCAGAAATGAAGCGAATTGAATATGTTGAATGTTCGTATCAGTAAAGGAACCCGTCTTAATGGTATCCCGGTATAAAAACAGCCACTGACCGGTATCGGAAGGGAATAAGGGCGGAACGTCCTTATTATCATTGTACAGCAAAGCAAAGACCTCTCTATGCATCCCTTCCGGCCTTCTGGGCGGTTTTGGCGCAGCATTTAGCTTTTTTCTTGGCTTGTCGATTCCAATGATTGCTTCCCTGGTCAGTTCAGGAGTGGGCGGCCTGTCCAGCTCCATGATATCTCGAACGTCCGCCATCCTGGATGGAAATCAAGCGAAAAATGTGCCTTGATTCACTAAATAACTTTAATGGACAAGATATTTGTTTGTACACTGAAACCACAGACTTATTGTTATCTATGCTACACTTATCTTTATCTCACACGGGGAATATTTTATGCTTTATCTATGCGACAGACTGAAACAGAACGTGCACAGAACATACCCCTTATGCGGAGATATTTTGTGGACTGTAGCACCAACAACATTTGCTGTCAATGTCCAAGGTTCCTAACCTTCTTCTTTCTTTTTTCTATACCTAAAGTATACTTGGTCAGCGTCAGGCGTCAACGTTGACAGAACTCTCCTCAATGACTTTCTTGTAGGTAGGGTTGCCAATTTGCGGAAAATTTCTAAATGAAAATTTCACCTATTTTAAGGCATTGTTGATGGAATTAACTACCTTTCTAGAATTTAAAGCTTACATGCAATAGGACTGGCGAGACATAAAGATTGGCTAAAAACTGAGAAACAAACCTAAAAGTGCAGCAGACACCTGTGAAGTGGGCTGTGAGGGTAGATACTGACGCATAGATGTCTCGACCAGCGCGTTGCTTTTATGTGAGCACTCCCAGGAAATTTTTGTATTGCCGATTGTCTGAAATCGGTGAGAGCTAATGGTCTACTTGTCTTTATCTATGGTCTAGACCAGGCAAGTGACAATTCACTCGTGTGAGAATCTTACTATCATGCGCAAACACAGAACTGACTGAATCAAGAGTTTGGTGATCTGTGATACAGAAATAGATTAATATTGCTTGTGAATACCGAATTTGCTTCTCACTGATTTTACAAACATTCCCCGGAAGTCCTCTCGTAAACGCATGAAAATAAACGCCGTTTGGGAACGCATACGATTCCTTAATTGCGAGTTCAACTACCGATGACGGCGCTGCGAAACGTCAAATTAATCGTTGTCGAGTGACAGTTGAGACTTGTCAGACTTGCTTATTCATTGGAGTTGATGACATTTATAACATAAAACAATACTTACACAATTTTCGATATGTTTCTATTTCGTTTTTATAATTTTAGCCACCAGGGGAGGTGTGGAACTAGCGAATTTGTAGACATGATGTTGACATATTTCCCGGTTTATAAACTGATCAATTACCACACTTTACAAAATGTTTGTAATAAAAAGTAAACTGGAAAATTGACCTATTTTTCGATGATCGATTGGCATTTAATGACTCTGTTCCCGCAAGTGGACGACCCTGTAGGAAAACCATCCGAATGAGTGTTTTTCGGATTTGTAGTCTTTATTCCCAATTGATAAAGTTCACATAGAAGGAGTTACTGAGCAGTGACCGAAGAAAACAGGCAGTTTAGATGTTTAATTCAATATATTAAAACATAAAAATATAAAACAATAAATGAGGTAATATGTATAATATACCGATTTCATTAACATCTAACATATTACATGATATCACATGTTCATTTGCACACATCCAAGTGTTGTACGTAAACGTAATTATTGACGTGACGTCGATGTGGGACGATGGGGGGGACTTGGCGTTTATTGGTAGCTGTCGTTGCTGCGCCGTTATCAGAACGAATGACGGTAGGCGGACCGTTTGCGCAGCAAGTCCCCTCCACATTTTTACTCAACCGTTTTGTATGCAGCCGTAACGAAACGGGTGTGGGCTCTCATTTTACAACTATAACTGCATCTGTATATATGATTGCCATAATGTGTTATGCGGCCACTGGTCGCACAGTGGAGAAATTCCAATTTCATACTGCTTTGTAGTAGTTTGTGCCCTCGAATTATTGAATGTTCCAGCTAATCTAGTTTCGGTAAATTAACCAGAAAAAACCGGCTGTTAAGCAAAAGTTTCGATTGAACATGACGATCAATTACAATGGCAAGAAATGAGAGACACGCAGGTTGATTCTGGATTGTTGCCTGTTTCACGTTGGGTTGGTTAGACGATTTTTTTGCGGGAATCCTTTAACCATCCGACGTACAGCCGCGATTTAGTTCTAGAACTATGACGCACACTTAAAAAATCCATTTTATTGCCGTCTTCATTTAAGAAGTCACTTAGGACGGTTGAAACTGTGTTCCATAATTTTTCTGTTTTTTTCTATCAAACTTTAATACTGGCTGGTGACTTCTTAGCAGATTCAGGCCCGTTGACTAGATTAAGTCACCCAGCGAAAAATCCACTGCAACCCCACCCCATGCAACCGGGCCGGAACCAAAGTGGGAATTGCCAAAATTCGATAGAAAATCGATTTGAAATCAACCCACTAAAACGGCAAAGTTCGCTGGGCCGTAGTCTTTACAAATAGATCTTACATGTACATACCTTTAGAGAACATGTTTATAGTAACGTTAATTTATTAATGTGTTCCATATTTACATGCCTAAAGCTAAATCTCTTATATACCGACATTATACCTACATTTCACTATACCTAGAGGATTTTCTATATAATATAATTTTTCCTAAGGTTCATTTGAGCGACGCAGCCTAGATCAAACATGTCCAAAAAAATTGAACGAAAGGGGGCATTTGTATATAAAAATAATTGTTCGTAATTGCTCCAGGAGTTTCAACTAAAATCACCAAGGGAAACCATCGTCTTAGTGCTCTAATGGGAAATGGAGAGCCATTGTTCTAACCTGCCAATTGAGAAATGGTGATCTGATTCTGGGGAGAAAGCTTTTTAGTGAAATCTGACAACGAACCTCCCAAATCTGATATCTAACACCCCTTTTGCAATGGACTCGAACAAGGCAAACATTTTCATCAGTTTTTGATATATTTCTGCCGTTTGATAGTTTCCAATCTTCAGTTGAATATAAAATTTAACATTTAAGGCCGATTTAGAAAGTCGACATTGTCGTAGTGCGGTAAATTTGTCCCATTAAAGTACTGATCAGAAGAGGTCATGCCGTCTAAGCTGCGCTTAATAAAATTGAGCGGTCGAGATCAGAGAAATGCGATGTTGCATTATACTAAGTACCCATAGTCCAATCGCTTTGAAACGAAACAAGTAAGCAATTATTGTTGAATGAATGACGACGCATAATTGGGGATCACAACCTGAGTAAGTCTAAGAATCGGTCGCTTATTGCTACGTGTTGGTGCCGATCAGGATTTGAACGAAGGCGTCCTGATCAGAGATCAAAGAGTCCGTCCGCAACGTGGACGACAGCTCCTGACAGGAGTTGGAGGCATTCAGTCCAAGTTCCGCATAAAGATCATGATTGTTCATCGGCTCCAAGTCCAAATGGGAGGACAAAAGCACTGAGCTCCAATTGATGGTGGGAGCGTAGTCGTCGTCACCCAGGCCGGAATCCGTGTCCGACGTAGAGGCCGGAAATGGGGTGGCGCGGCCCGACGTTCCCGCCATATCGCGCAGGCTTTGCTCGTACCCGCTCGCCTCAAATACCGGCGACACGCGATTCGGAGCTGGTAGCTCGGGCAGCAGCGGGTAACTTGGCTCGGGTGGATCGTCCGCCATCTCGCGTTGCAAGCGCGCAACAGTATTATGCACCACAACAGAGCGCTGCAAATGGTGCTCCAAACGATCCTTGTAGAGCGTGAGCTTACTGATGGAGAGATTGATCATTGCGAGGCGGCGCTGCTTGAACGTTTGCACTTGACACCAGCGGGCTCTGCCGTCGCAACACCGCAACGCTGCGTTGTTCACTTTCGGAGCAGCGCCCAGTTCGAAGTACGATTTACCATTTTCATCTCGACTGATTGTTTGCTGCTGCTGCTGTTGTGAATTTTGCCACCCTTTCATCAAAGCCAATCTGGAACGAAACAACATTTTTTAGATAGAGAACATTTGGAAAACCTACTAACGGAAATGGAAACAGCCTGCTTGAAGAACGCGCTCTTTGATCCGCACTCGTCTCAAGCATTCAAGAAAGCTTCCTTCATATATATATAGTATGTGTCTCTGACTTGCTCACCGAGTGCAGCTGTTTTGATGCGGATCAATGAGCGCGTACTTCAAGTTTTCTGGCGGACTGGTGGTGGAAGTCCATATCATACCAAGAGACACTAAAGAGTGAAATTAAGTGGAACTAACCGATCAAAAAGCGGAGCAGGCGTAGGAGCAGAGAACCGGGGCGGTTCCACAAGAGGTCCAGTTGTTGCTCTGAACCGAGGCGGTTCGGGGGAGCACCGACCCATATCATCATCGCTGCTGCTGCTCAGATCATCAAAGTCATAAAATGTGCAATTTTCTTCGCTAACCGCTGACGGAAACCTATACCAAGCGTCCGGTGAGGGCACGGCAACCGCTTGCAATCGAGCAATGCAATCGTCGCTACTGGTCGACACATCCCACTTGCTAATCTTCGATGGCGAGGCTCGATAATCCCAGGTCTCAAACTTCCTTTTATTGTTAACAACTGCTGAGGACGTCGTCTGCAACCCCATCATGGCACAATTCTGCAACAAAAATTGGAACACATCAAATATATTTCGAACACCGTGTATACTGATGGCAAGAAACCAGTTTCAATTTGACAACGTCATTGTGACATTTTCGATGGCCGTTTTTTCGCGAGCGTTTCAAAGAGGGCGCAGTCGGCATGTTTTACAAGTACAAACTGGAAATAATTCAAGCAATCTTTCGGTGAGAATAAACAACAGTAAATTGGCTGCTATCTAATTGTACAAATAAGTTGCCGCTGGAACATCGCAATGCCATGTTGCCATGTTGCCGCGCTGCTAGACTTGAAAGCTAGCGGTAAAAACGTGGAGCTTCAGCCAAACTATTGTTGATTAAAATCCATTCAGCCCAGGCTGAAAATGATCAGTGCGCCTTGTAGAAGAATATATTTCCAACAATTCCTTTGCGCGCTCCGCTTGCATGCGCCTGCTAATAATACTGTGGCGTCGTGCTTCCAAACAGGATGTTTTTAATGATGATATAGCGGTTGTGGCATTTCTTGCAACTACGCAGCTCGGCAACGTTGCTCTCGCACCAACTAGTAAACGTCCCATGTTCGAAAATAACCTTGAGGATTCGTAGTTTCTCATGTCACAAGCGGGCGCTCGGCCTTCGACGCAGCAAAACCGGCCTGCACCAGCCCGCTTGCCTTCGTTGCCAAATCTACGCCACTAGTCCGGGCAAAAATGCTCAGTTCAGCTACCACTGTGCAGTGTCACTTTTAGGGCCGACAACACACTGTCAGTGCAGGCCCCATTTGGCTCTCAATCACTCGACAAGGGTTGAAAAGTCTGGGGTTTGTTCCCCAACTACTTTGTATGGCAACATTGCGTTGACTCGCTCGAGCCGAAGAAGTGGCACGAAATTAATAGTCCAGCAGAGGACACACGAGGAGTTCACTTTTTCTGCTTTTAAACTTGCGCCAGAATTGGCTGGTCTTTTGACAGATGTCAGCAATGACATAAAACAAACGCCATTTTGGATAATAGAATCAGGTCAATTTTCGGGACGCCACCATAGTTTTGAAGACATCGCGATAATTATCCGACTAATCTGCTAAATTAGTTTTGACTATACCCTTGAACCAAGACAACCTTGCAGGTTTTTTTTAAGAAACTGGCGGTTTTAGTGGCGTTCCCAATAACCTTAGAGAGTAGCAGGATTCGGGCAGAAAAACGAAAAAGTGAAAGAACCCATCAGATAATAAACGGAGGTGTTGGGTGAACGGCTCCGGCCCGCACTCACTTCTTGCGATCCTTTTTGATTTTATATAAGTGCCCGCTTTCTATTTAATTTACTCGTTATATTTTACTTGGCTTCGGTTGCCTTCGCCCATTCTCTGGCTGTAACACTTTTTGGATAACGGCCGGTAAGCGACGACAAGGTTTTAAGTCGGGATTTAACGCTTTTTTTTCGTGCCAACCGAAATGTTTCGCAACTTCCACCAATCGCTGATGGTTTACCAGCGGGTTTTTTCAGTGTACGGTTAGGTTTGTTGCAGCGGATGACAGGTGACATGTCGTCGGTGTCATTCTACGATGGCCCGAACGATTGCGGTGACATTCACAAATCGGAGTCATTGACAAATGACATAATTTTTTTGTGAATTGCCTTGTCTCTGTAGCAGAAATAAAATTTCCCTTCTGATGAAGCAAATCTAGATACCGTGTGTTGTGTTTCGTTCTTTTAAAATATTCGGTTAGAAACACGAGTGCTTCATTCAGTCCTCATATCAAAATGGTCAATCAACGGATATTTCTTTACCGCTTAGTGAACTTTCGGATTTTCGGCTCTGTTTGAATATTTACAATACGCTTAAACCGCCGGCCATGCTGGACGATGCGTGGATAATCATCAAACCTAACCTCAAAAGATCAAAGTGAATTTAATTTTGTTAGTCCGATGATACAAAAGCCATTCGAACCATTCCACGACAAATTAATCTGAATATGCGAAAATCTGTGTCGCCTCCACCGTTGCAGGCTGCAGCTGGGACCATAACCATAAAATCTCCAACCATCGAAGATCGAACAAAAATGGTTGTCATTGTTCCATTTGGCTGGAAAGCCGAAGGTGCTTGTTAATTAGTTGCGGGCCTGAAGCGGATTCCGGGCATCAAAAAGTTCCAGCAAATATGCGGCGGCCTCCCCTATTTTGCGCGCAAGGAGGGCTCAGGCCTGCGAGTTGATCGGCCGATGGGGGTTCGAAACTGGCAAGCCTGGCACAAAGAACAAAGCACCGAGACTAGAGCCGACAGTAGGAAATTTTCTATATTTTAGTCAAAAATCTCGTCTACTCGTCGTACTGACTACTGTGCCATATTTAACAGAGCATTCGAGCAGGTTGTGCTTGACACATCGAAAAGATTGTGTTGCGGTATCAGTCAATTTTGTCTTTGTCCCAATATGTCTTCCATGAAAGTGGCACAATAAGCGAATTTCTTTTAGGTCTTTGTACCGTTTTACGGACAAAACGAGTGGGCCGTTCCGGCCCTGAGTGCAGAGAGAACGGAGCGAGGATTAGTAACATGAACGCGGGCTTCAGGGTGGCAGGCCCCTTTTTCGAGGGTTCGACCGACCTTCCACCCTTCTCGGAACTGGGGCCGGGGTTTACGCTAGCGTTCGAGCTGCCTTGCTGTCGACCCCGAATACACGGCTGCCACGTCTCGTCACATTTACCACAGAAGCGGGATTTGTCCATCAACCATGCAGGCCAATTGAGAAGAACCAGTGTGACGACATGAGGACCAAGTGGGAAATGAGTGAAATTTTTTGAGATTGAGAAAGCTGCGTGTTTGGCCAGGCGGCAATGGCACGAAGCGGCAACATTGCATGACGAGCTCAACCCGAGGTAGCTACTGTCGATTTATCGGGCGCAATGGTTGGGGAAATACACCAGCGAATATATCGACGGTTATTTTTCGACCCTCTCACAGCCAATGTGGAGCAATTATCTTGATGAGGCTGAAGTAATGGTACTAGTTTCCTTTCCGCCCGTCACGATATGACAGATAAACGAATAAAAATTACGCTTTTTGTTTGACCCATTCATTCACAACGGTTCGAGCTGCCGTCCCCAAACCCTTTCCCTTTTGGAGGGCGATTCTCATTTAGATGGGCCCAAACGGAATCCTGTCCTGGTTAAAAACAGCCGCGAACAAAGTGATCCTTTTTGAAGTTTAAAATTCGCTTCTCCCTCGACGAGGGGAGCTTTATAGAAGCGGCGCGGTCGTAACTTTGTGCCGTTCGTTTTCCCCATTAATTTCCCCGTGCGAGGGTGGGGGAACCCCCTTCCGCAGTTTCAAAATATCCGAAAAATATATATATTATTATTATTCTCCTCATTTCACTTGCCGGTCAAAAGATGGTTTGAATCAAATCACCCTGCGTTGTTATTTGAAACTGTGCGCATCAAAAACGGCGCCCAATTCGCTGGTACGTGACATAAATGTGTGTAAGCACATCGCAACCACATCTGCCAGTCGAAAAGGTTTTTTTCATTAAAAAAAAAACATTTTTTTGCAATATATGCGCAACGAGCGAGAGGCAATATATGCGATTCTTCACATGAGAGAGTGAGGTAACATGTTTATTTACTTGAAGAGTTGGGCGAACTGAGAAGGAAAAACGGAAGACAGAAAAGAAGCACGAGATGAGGCAAAAGCAATATTAAGGAAAACCAGCAATTCTTCGACTACTCCCATTCCAATAAGGGAAAAATTGATGACATTTTACAAACTTTTCTGATCTGCACGAAGGAAGTCCGCCCCTGTGGTGCTGGGGGCAAAAACGGACTACGTTGCAAAAACCCTACTAAAAACAACCCCTGCGAGTGAAAAAGAGAGAAAACTGCCGGTGCTGGCGTCGTCGATCCAAACATTCCAAATTAAAACGACGTAGCAACCGGAGCGTCGCGTCGTAGTTTGTTTTTGCTGGCGTCGAGGTGGGGATGGCGATGGGTTAGAACGTTGCCACGGCGTCGCACCAATCAGAGGGCTGCGTCGCGCCCGCCTTGCTACCCCAAAACAGTCTGCTACGGGGGCGATTTGCAAACTAGAACCCGAAAAAACTGTGTTTGCTCCATGATGGGTGGATGTTCGAGCAATGGGCAAGTGGGACGATAAAAAAGTTCTTTTTTCGCCTGAGGCCTGCAGCCTAGCGAGAGCACGGATGAACGTTTTATTTCTATTTTGAAAAAAATGCCTCCCGCCGGGCCCGTAGAGCTTCATGCGACTGCGCCAATAGGCGGGCGCGATATCCGATATCAATACTTCCAGCGCCCTCCCACAACCGACGGCAGGAGGGCGAGACAAAAAAAGCACGTGGCATCGGCGGCGGCAGTTTTAATGCAATTATCTATCATTTTGTTGCGTCTATTATACAGGGTGTCCTGTTAGCACATGATCAAAAGGGTACTGGATATTCTTTGGACCAAAAGAACTTTTCTTCCAAAAAAATTATCATTTCTGAAATATCCTGAAAATGGTACTACGGATTTAAACAAAGCTCACTGTGAGTTTATTCTTGTGACTCATGTCCCATGATGCAACAACCGAGATCGTACGCTTTGAGCAGTGAGGAATTCTTGAGTGCGTTGGTGCAAAACCTACCAGAACTTTTTATTTGGTTGCGGGATTCAACTAATTCAACTAGTTTTTGAATGAAGACACTCAGACAAGAGGGCATTCCCCACTTGCCCAAAGCAGACAGTGAGTTTCATCAAAATCCTATACCATTTTCACGATACTTCAGAAAAGATCCTTTTTTTAAGAACTTCCTTGGTAAAAACCTTCATATGTGCCAAATAATGTCTCAGGGCCCATTTAATCATGTGCTTACGAGACCCTGTACATAGGTATCCATGGGATTCACTCACTAATGTCAAATTGACTACCTAGTTAAACTGTTAACCCTCAATGTCAATACTGTCATTGAAATAACGAATAAAGATAAGGCTGAAATTGAGAAAAATATTGATGACACAGCAAGTGGTTGATTCGTACCTGAATTGTCAGATTTCTTCTGTTCTGGCTTAGTTGGGTTCTCGAAAAGAGCGATTAGGAACCAACCTGAAACGGAAAAAAAAGTTTGAATGGTTAACGTTGCTGAGCGCTGAGGGTGAACAATGCTGCTGATTGGACGCATTTTAATTGCAGTTTGATCGAAAGAATCCGCAGCCCGTTTCAGTCGACGAAATACCGTTACACCGGTTGCATAGGTCGCATTTAACGCGGCATGGATGACGTGCGAGAATCTAACAGGCCCGCACTATTTATTTGGATGGCTTTGATTTCTCTTCGTTTCGTTCAGCAATACAATGCGGCTGCGGCGTCTAGCGGTCGCCACATATCGAACTACCCACATTCGATTGGTGGAATATCCAAAAATACTGATTGCTCTACAGTTAATTCTGTCAAAAATAACCGACGTTTCGACGCGTTCTTTTCAATTTTGCTCCGCAATAAAAGTTTTAATCCCGTCCAAAAAAACAACTTTTTCTCGAATTGCCGATAATCTGTCGATAGTTCTGATAGTTCCGGACGTCTACAGGCAGACGAAACGGTGCCTTGTAGGCCCAAGGTTTGAATGTGTCACATTCAAGCAAGGTTGCCAGGTCCGAAAATCGAGTTTCGGCAGATAAGCTCTACACTTTTCGGTAGAAAATTGGTACTCATTTTTCTTTTATTATCAAGGGCCCCATCTGGCGAGGTTTTGGAAATGCTCTGTTACGCACACCTAGAGCTGATTGGGTGGTCCAAAACCTCACAAAAAAAATCTCCATAAAATCGTACGTTTTTCAAAACTTGAATTTTTAAACTTACAGGAAAACTAAAATATGCATGAGTCAGTAAAGAAGTAAAGATGCAATTGTACTCGTTTTTAGCTTATTTCTCAACTTAGTTTTCATTACATTAACCTGTGAAAATATCCGTTCAACATTGGCTGATGAGTGAGGTAGAATAAGCAGGTTACAAATAAAATTGGTTAAAATTGGAAACATGAATGTATCATCTCCATATTTCAATATTTGTACTTGACTCCAAAACTCTTTAATATTTCCAGAAAATTTTCATTTCTTCAACATTTTGCAACAGACGTCATTCTGTGTCCAGACCTTGTAATTCACTATCATTTATTAAATTTGGAAATATCATTGCAACATCAGAAATAGATTGTAGGGAACCTGATTTCACTATTGCAGGATCCATAAAACATAATTTTATTATATTTATAGTCTATATGGCGGGCTTGATTCATTTTATGTTTGAAAAATAACGTTAAAATAAAATGTCTGCTATTACCAACGGACTCGATCATGAATGGAAATATGTTATATTATTTTAAGTAATCCACGGAATTTTTTTAAACTTTTATTTGTTACTTTTCGGTAGATCGGCAGGTTCTTGACAAATCGGTAGATCTACCGAATAATCGGTACACCTGGCATCTCTGCATTCAAGCAAGTAAAGATTGATGGCAGCGCTTCCCTACGGACGCAAATCTTGCAAACACGAGCAACCTTCCTGCTTAAGCGCCTGTGGAATAGCAAAGTTGTCTGCGGTTACTTTAGGGTATTTGTTGCTATAGTCAAGTAACAAAAATTCACCATTTATCATTTAGTTCGTGAGGGATTCGAGTGGTTACTTGCATAATATCTGACTATTTGTCAGTTTGGTCACATCCATTAAGAGAGTCATTTGACAACTGTGAGTAACCATGTGTAACTGTTACTAAGTACAAAGTTGTTACAAAAGTGTCAAAGAATAGTTATTTTTGGGGGTCGAAAAACAGAAATTCTCCGAAAAGCGGTCTACTCACACGGCAATATACAGGGTACAATTTGCAGGCCCCAACCTTTCGACCAGACGTAGCAATTTATCAGTGTTGTATTGAGTTTTGATCTGTGCGTTAACATATAGCTCCTTCAAGGCGTCAAAAAATTGGGATTGCGCTAACAGCAGATATGATTAGAAAGAAAATAAAATACTGGTCAAATGTCATTCAATCAATGAATGGTTCTTGAAAAGGATATTTTGTCATTCCAATTTAATCAATTAGAACCCATGGAATTTAAATTTTTTAAAAGAATGTCGGTAATGTAGAACAACGATTAATTGTAACTTTAACGGATCGAACAACACAATGGAACAAGTTACGAGGATTTAAAATTTAGCGCGTTTCTTCAAAATCATTCCAAACACGTGTTGGGCCATCTACAATAGTTTCAAACTTAAAAAAAACCCATAACTATAAATTATCCTGCCTAAAATCGATTAACCTATTCACACGCTACCATAACAGATAAATTGTGTCAAACTGTTCTACACCTCATACGAATTGCAGGGAATTTGAGAGAGGAGCAGGGCGATTCTATCCTCGAGCCGACCAACTAGCCGATATAGAAATTGGTACAATCGGCCTGCACATGGATCCTGAAGATTGCCGTGTGAGTAGGCCGCTTTAGGGTTCCTCCGGGCAGGTAGAGCCAACTGTGCGATGCGGGGCGCTCACAAAAACCCTCAAACGGCCCCACGCAGGTAAAAAGGGAACATTTCGTGCAACATCTGGATTTTGGATCTGTGAATGTTCGGGAGTACAATTTGAGTTCCGCATAACGACATTCGTTCGACAACCCGAACGCTCGCCGATTCGCCACAAAGCCGAGCGCAGCCGAAACGCAGCGACTGTTCGCTGCCATTGTTCCCCAATGGTTCTGAACCTTCTTCGTTGGTGGCTTTTTGGGTCGAGTTTCGCTTGCATGATGTGCGCGTTATGGACGAACGTTGCGCAGCTTGTAACCGTTTTTGCCAGGAGAAAATGTATTTTTCAAACCACTTGTTTACTTGGCGTTTCAATTAGCATTGGCTAAATAATCTGCCGGCTCGCAGTGTCTTCCACCGCTGGCTGCTGTATGCAATTCGTCAAAAGTTCAACAACAATCGATTGATTCAATGCATGTCGTCGGCATGCACTTATTGAACGTTCGCCGATATCTTCCAGCAATCGGTAGATGGCATGGCCTTACTCTTACTTTACATTGTATGGGAAGGCGACCTTGTTCCACTTGCATTCAAACTTCGGTCGGGAATTTCCCAATGTGGTCACTGGTATTGCGATCGGCCCCACAACGACGATCAACTAGCTGGAATTTTTTTGGAAAAAATTGCCGTATTCATTGTCAGTCCATAATCGGCACTTTTAGTGGCCGTCAATAGACAGGTCTTGTGACATTGACAACAGCATTATACCCTGTCAATGTCAGTGGCCGAACTGTCTTTCTTTCGCTGTATCAGACCGGAAAGATGAGTGAATTTTCCACCAGTTTAGCACAATGCGAATGTATTTCAATAGGCCGAAGCAACGCAGTAGGTACAGTTAGCGCAATTCGCGTTCGTTGAGCTGATATCAGCACTGAAAATAACCGCGCGTTCAGTTTGTTAATACTTGGCGCAATGTTGCCGTTTTCTCAATGACAACTTTAACCTGTCATTAGTGGTCACTTGAGGACAAAACAATCACAATGTCGACTTTCACTAGAGTGCGGGGAGAAAGTGAGATAACGTTTGACGGTCGATGGCGCCACCTTGGCCTAGCAACGAACAATATAGGTATAAAAGGGCACTGATCTCCATTACGCAATATGAAAGGGTCCCATCGGCATTTTCATTCACAGGTGCGCTCACCTTTTGTCACGTACCATTCATCGGCGGCAATTTCATCAGGTATTTCCTGACGTTCTTCGACTCGTGTCATCGTTGACAAGTGTTATATTGAAAGCAGAAAATCATTGTTCTGAATGAGAACTGTTTTGTACCAGTTACGAGGTTTGTGCGTAAACAACAACGTCCTCACGGGCGAGTCCGTGTATGTGTGCTTGACAGAAAGTGTCATCAGTCCATAAAGTGACCATGACAAGTGTCCATAGGGTGACACTAGACAAGGAAAGAGGGACTCTTCTATATGAGGAAAGGCGACCAGACAATCGTTCTTAAAAAAGTGACATCAGGGTGGACCAACGCGCCAAGCGACACAGTCAAATGCGCTTCCGCACGGACAAATCGGCTGCCAAGAATGCAAAGCGCGTCGCTAATTAGACGTGCTGACACCTGTTTATCTTGGTCGTCGCAGACGTAAATAATCAATTAGTGCTTAATGGGAAAGCGCCGGAAAACAATAGAGCGGACACACGGCGCTGAGATTACGATCGGATTGACCGTGACCCGCACCAGATTGGGCGCGTGAAAACCGCATAAAAACAACAAATCATCAATCACGACCCTCTCTTCGCCGGCACTGACCTGCCCAAAGTAATCAACGCCGCCCGTTCAATCGGCAGGTATGTCACACTTATAACTTCTTTCGTATATATTTCACCTATAACTACTGCCGGGTTTGTATATCTAGGAGCAATGTGACAGTCGACAAGCGTAATCTCGATGTTTCAAGTGAAGGCATTGACAAGAAAAAAATGGTGTGAAATCATGCTCTTCTTGCGTCAGTCAGTCAAAAACACCTCGAGGTATTATATGGCCCATCCTGTATCAATTGATTCCCAGTAACTTTCCAGAAAAGTTCCCTTACTCGCATTTTCTCGATCGATTCAATCGCGTCAACCTGACGCCTCTGTCTCACACTGCTCGAAAACGGAACTGACTCCGAAACACCTCTAAAGACTCATCGTTTGGAGTTCCATACGACCGAATGGTCTGCTTTTGATCTTCCAATCAATCAAATCCCGGTCATACCATTTTCTCTATTGTTCACACTCGAAGCGATCAAACCGATGAAAATTGACAAAGAAACACAGGTGGCCGATAGGCTCATAAATAATGCTCTTATGTATTTATATAATTTCGGAAGTCACCTTAACACTATTTATAAACCACTTAAATCAGTGTTTGCTGACGTTGGGCCCCGCACGCGACATATTTTATTGTCTACTCGGAACGAGAGGTAGAGACGCATAAAAATGCGATTATGTGTGTGTGTCTGTGTGTTTACAAATTGAATAATGGCTTTTAAAAAGATGACATGACATATCAACAAGTTGTTCAACGTGGCGCGCATT